CAGCTGGAATGTTGTTCAAAATGTCATCTGATGCTCCTGCAATCACTGAAGGGATTCAAGAAGCATTCGCAAGGCTTAGGTCTCATGTACCTCTTTTCAGTCTAGACAATGGTGTGACCCTTCTCACTCAATGCCGCTGTCACTATGCCTTACTGTATATCTGCTGGCCACGTTTTGTTGTCAGTGCTACTCATACATATGGACTGATGAGCGTAGAAGTGCCAGAGTGCCAATTCTGGGAGGTCTGCCAGGCAGCATACAGCGTGGATGCTTTCTCTCAGAGGGACAAAACGGAAATGACAAGGCAATCGCCGTTCTGTCAGCATTGCCATGGTAGCACAGGCACGGCTGTTTATCCCAAGGTTAATGGGATGACGCCTGGAACTGAAAGTGCCAGATTGAGAGAAACATCTGCCTGTTTTACTTAAAACAAGTAGATGGCAGAGAGAGTTGTCACATCACGCAGAAGTGAGCCCAGAACAGGCCGGATTAACAAACATTGTGGACATTATAAACCTCACTCATCTTCTAGCATAGATCATAAATTACTAAATTGAGACATTATTGAATTGCTCAAAATCTTGATGTAGATGTGATGTTTTGACATTGAGCCTGTGCTGCCATTGATCAGAACATCTTAAATGTGCAGAGTGATACTGAATCTGATAAAAGCAGTCTTATGAGAATAATGAATTGTGTAAAAGCAGGGGGTGAATGGAGGCTTATGGATGTTTTAGCATTACACCTGCTAAAATCCATCATGGTGAGGAGCTTTGCACATGTTTTGTACTGATATGTTTTAAGAGATGTGACCTAACGCATACAGTATTAATATGTACAGTAAACAGGGACACTGCAAATGCAACATTGTATGAATCCTCCTTCACTACAAAATTCAGCCACGCATTCAATTATTGCAATTAAAAATTGTCACTTCAGTTTAAACTGCGTATTTATGCCCTTTTGTCCATCAGTCTTACTGTTTTTCCATGAGTGTACAAATTCACTTCTGATTCCCATCATGGAGTAATTTCAATTAACGTAACAATGTCTTTACACAGATTAGAAAAAATAGAGATGATGTGATCATTGGCCAGCTTATTATCCCCCCCCCCTTCTACATCAGGATTGTGACAAACGTTTAGCTGTAATTGGTTATTTATAATTGTGAATATGTTTTATTTTATGCTAACACTCTGTTAACACACTATACCAACAAAATCACATCTGCAAGCGGCTGTGTACAATTACAGTGTGCTAGCTCTGGGCATTCAATAGTGACCCAGCTGGTCATCAAGTGACTTGCTTAATGTTAGAGTTAGGGTTATTGAGGAATTGGAAAAGGTCATTTTTATTTTTTCATCCTACAACTGGTCTCTAAATTGAAACAAGAATACAGCTACTGTAGCTACCAGCCTGATACACTCACTTGAGTGAAAGCCATTTTGTTTCACTTCATTCACTCGCTGAATAAATCAGAGATGTGAACGGGCATTCAGAGATCTTGAACAAGGCTAGGTAAATCCTGTGGAGGACCTGAGTTTCCCCTGCAATGAGGGTTAAGAAAAGCTCTGCTGAATATTTTTATATTCCTGGAATGTGAGCTGTAACAACGGTGTAACTCACTCATCTTTGTCCATCACAAGTATATAAAACTATTACTATACTGCACAAATTACCTGATGGCACCTATAAAGATTTTCATTAGAATGTGTGTGTTATGCAGCTCAATGTGTGTGGGAGCTATTCTCTGAGCCATATGATGAACGTATTTGCAAATGTGGCGTGTGTTGTTTTAGATAAATCATTCTATGTCATTTTAAAACATGTATTTGTTTTTAAATGTGTTCACCTCAGCCTTATAGAGTGGCAAGGCTGCAGTGGGAAAGGCTTAACCACTAGGATTATAGTCATTCTGATGGATGGCAATGAGACACATTAATCGACTGCCGTGCAACCCTCACTTATCTGATTTTAGCGCTGCTCCTCCCTTTCTGTTCTTGAAAGGCAGAATTATCTCTCCAGCAGTAAATGGGATGTAATATGTGTTTTAATGGAAAATTAGCGAAAGATTACACTTTTCTCAAATTACACTTTGAATAAAAGTGGCCTGTGAAACATTTCAGTGGGTTCAGTACACTTTGCCTATGTTTGCTTATATTCTTTTATGAAATTTATTTATATTCTAGCTTTATGTTTTCATACACCAACCAACAATACATCTAGACCTGTTTGTTTTGTAACTTCCTTTCATGTTCCTAGTCACCATCTAATCTGTCTCTGCACAGCTGACCTATGGAATTTGTTGCTGTTGTGAGATATGGCAGTCACATTTTGTGAGGCCCTATATATCTCCATAACATCTGAAAAGGTTTTTGTAGTTTGCCACAATTCACTTAAGAAGGGAAAGAAGAAAAGCCAGTAAGTGAGGGTTGAAATTGCCCACTGGAGAACCAGAATAGTTCTCAGTATTTTTATAGTGGAGAGCCCACATAGCACTCTTTGTTAGGGGAATGGTGTTCAAAGCAACTGAAGGCATTGTACTTCAGACAGCTCTGCAAAACAGAATATATATTTTCTGCAAACACTAATGGGATGGGAGTATGTCATAACCATTTGTACAACTGCCTCAAGTGTGTACTACTTTATCAACAATATTTCCCAAAATTGTATAAATATACAGCTAACCCTACACAGTTTCAGTCCGAGCTCCAATGTTTGTCATAGAAACAGTCAGATACATACACTGAAAATTAATACAACTGTGTGGGTACGTGTGAACTAATATAGCTCATCTCTCAAGTGGCATCAGGTTGGTCACATATTCTAGCCCGACAGATATAGCAGCTGTGAGGCAAATACTGATATTGATATTTGGTAATGTTTTTCTAACATAAACAGTGGGAAAAATCTACATCCTGTCAGTACGCTCTGGTGGACAAACCATGTGATGGTGACAATGTTTCAGAATTACCTCAAACCTACTTCAGCATTTCTGTCCTGCAATTTGTTAATACTAAATGACCGAAATATACCACGATATAGATATATATAGATATATATATATATATATATATATAGATATATCTGCAATAAGCTAATATCGGCCCATATAGTGGTCCAGACTTGGACATTTATTCCAGTGCAAGCCCTTGACAAATAAAATTGTTCCATAAATAATGATCAGATATTCCTATTCTGGTAAAATATGGCATAAAATTTAGCACCAAAAGCAAAACAGTTCAATTTTGTTATGACTTTAACCTAATTGCCAAATAATTGTGGGTTAGTATTGAATGTTTCACATTTAACAGATACAGAACAACATGGGAATCCCACTGCAGTCCACTTTCTGGCCTCTGGCGTGGGATTTTGTCCTGGTTTGGTCTATCTTCCTCAGTTTAGCTTGCTAGATGTCCATCTTTTTTCTTCATCTCTCCTATATTGATTGTATTGTTGACTCTTAGTGAAAGAGTGGCTTTAGTAGCAAGGCTTTTTATATTACTGGGAGTCATTTGCTATGGTGTTGATAAAAAAACATTGTTTCATAGAGCTTTAACCTTTAATCAAAGTATTGTTTAATGTAGCCAGTTGGATTGAACCTCATACAAGTTACATGTTGACGGCAATGTTAAGGCTAACTTGTCAGCAACCACACATCAAATGGAATGAAGGATGGTAATAAATAATAAATCCCTGCTGTGTATTTGATTGGCAAGCAGCTTTCTCTTGTAATAGTATTGCAATCATAATGGGTGCTATTCCACGATTGGAGTTGTACTGGTACATGCACATAAGTCAGTCTAAAGTCATGACTGACAAACTTAATCCTGCTTGCTAATGCATTAGTTAGAAATGCAGCTCAAATCCATTCTAACATTTACATGCAATCTGGACCTCACCAGTCCATAATCTTGCAGGTGGTGTTCAGAAGACAATTGATCTTAATTTAACTGGACAAATCAGAAAAAACTTACAAGGGCTCAACAGTGTTCAGTGCGCTATTTTCCTAACCTAGTGACATTTTCATTAGAGGGATGAATGGAATGATTCCTGTTTATCTGTCTATACACCCCACAGTGCAAGTTTATGGTTGTTCTCTGGCTGTCGTGGTAAAACACTGGATATTTCAAATTAATCCTGAATCACGCTGTCTTTTTGAGGGACGCAAGCACAGTGTCTTTGGCTGCAAAGTGTTTATACATAGCAAGACATAAAGCCACCCTTGATCCATGGGTGTTTTGGTAAAGAGGAGTTCTCATATCTTTTTCATGAGCCAGTAGCAAAGTTGCCCCATATCTGTAGGGAATGGGATCATGGATATTGTGTTAACCCAGAAAAGTTAAAATCCATGCATGCTTCCTTGTTCCCCTGATCCCTCAGCTTTTGTTGTTGCATTGCCCCATTGTACCCGAGAAGAGATCAAGGGGACCCCTGTCGGTTGTGGATTATTTCTTTGTAGAAGCGCCACTGTAGGGGATAGAGGATTAAAAGAGCAGACAGTGGAGTGGGATTCTACAGGAAGTTCGTTTGCAGCACACACTGCACATGAATTGTTAAAGTGGAGTATGTTCTATTGAATATCCTATTTGGTGTGATGTTTTTTTTAAGCATATCAGAGGCATGAACCCACATTAACTCTGTAGCCATTCTAGTCTAAGTTTCAGGACTGTAGGAATATTCCTCATCATATATGGACAATTAACGCTGGAATTGCCTGTAGCCAGATGATGAATTTTCATTGTGTTTGTGTTATTTTCCCAGCTGTTGGGGGGAGGGGTGTTTAGACGGTGCTGCAGCTAAATGAATATGAAAGAATCATTGTCCTCTTTCTCTCAATTTCCGTTAAGGGCATATTGAAACCTGGATGCCGCTGTGGCAGTAATATTTTCACAGGGGTTCTAATTTTGTGTGTGTTGTATCCAGAATCTGTAGACAAAGGAGCTTTCTGGGGACTAGTCTACATTTTTTATAAGCTGTTGTTTCTTCTGTTTTTGCAGGAAGCCATGGACCTCGAGGCTGGGTAGCCTCATACCCAGAGTGTGCTGCGAAGAACCAATCACCTGTGGACATTGCAGACGAAGAAGCTTTGGTTTCAGAGGAGTACCAGGAGCTGGAGCTTGACAAGTTCAACACTGAGTCCTCCAACCAGACCACCATGAAAAACACTGGAAAGACAGGTCTGGGTCAAAGCAATGTTGGGGCTCATTTATGCCCTTAATCACATTAAACACACTAACATAATAATACCAAAATACAAAATTCACATTTCTCTGAACTGTAATGATTTTTTGGTTTTGTGAATTTCTAATGATATACTATGGGATAAAAATCTATCAGTTTATTAGATTTTTGCCATGCATTTAACTTAGCTGATCCCTTTTATACATTTTACTTCTGGTTGTATTTGATCATTGCAGACAATGTAGCAAATGATTCAGGAGGATGGCCTTATGGCAGAATGATTTTCCAGATAATTTACCATTGCACAATAACTGACAATGTGATATAAAAATATATAGACGTGATAAAATATCCATCTCACCCACTCCTAGTGTTGAGTATTGCATTTAGAGATAAGATATTAACATATGAATCTTTAAATCAATCTAAATGTATGTAGTAAAACAGGTTTACCTCACAGACTTTCAATAGCAAATTTCACAACTGAGCTCTCATGTTTTAGTGAAGCACATATCAGTCACACATACTATCACTCGGTCATGATTCTTGTAAATCTATCACTGATTTATTATTCCCTGTACTGCCCACTGCTCTCATTTATCTCGCACCATCCTCTTTGTATCGGCCTGCATGGCGTGTTTACAGAAACATTTTGCAGCTTAGTTGATTAACTGCTACTTCAAACCATTGACACACTTTCTTTTTCAATCAGCTAATCCGTGGACCATTGGTGTGAAAACCCTGACCTTAATTGATCTAGTCTGCTTTTGGCACCGTTTCTCTCAGAGAGCGGTTTCATATTTTGCGTTTGATCCTAATGAAAGTTGTTAGCCTCCATGACAACCAAGGCCACTGGGACAGGCGAGCAATGCTGCGGGCTGCTTATTTACAAAGATGGAAATAACACGGCTGGTTGTAATTTTGGGCATAAACAGTACAGAGGGAATTTTCGATTGTTAAGCACTGTGAAAATTAGGAAAATTCAACAATGTTACCACAAAATATTATCATGCAAGCTCTATTTAAAAGAGGCCAACTTAATATTTAGCAAATTCACCTCACAGTATTGTGAAATTGATTTAATAAATGAGGAAACTGTAATTTGTCATTAATTCTACCCTTTCGAAATTACCATGACATGAACATTACATTTTTGATTGAATAGTAGATTAGATATTACATTAACAAGATGAAATGTACTACAGAATATAACATGTGTTTTTAAATATTGAACAACTTGAAATTACATTTAAAAATAATAAATATCTGGAAAATTCAGGGATGGATGGATGGATGGATGGATGGACAGATAGATCAATCATATTACAGTTTCCCTGCTCTCTCGTCCTTTAATTGGTTAGCTGATGCTCACTGCCACCAAAGCCTGAAAACCAAAGTTGAAAATAAAGCAAACTTTCCTCTGTATTTTCAGGGCTGCATTTGATCGACTTTATCACTTGAAATGTGGATGAATGCCTTCATGGACTAAATTTTTTAAGACATTGTTAGTTATTGATCCTAACAGGAATTTGTCCTCCTTGTTTTTCCGTTTCAAAGTTTTGAATATTACACATTGTTCTCCAAATGAATCTTTGGCCTTCAGAGTTGTCTTTTGTTTTCCACATCACGACTAGTTGCATCCTTGATATTTTGTGTTTGCCAAGTCCGCAATTGTTTTCCTGCACCCTCCTTGACAATTTTGTATTTGGATTCTACTTACGTTGTTAAAGATGACATCAAACATGACTGAATGTACTGAATGTGTCCAAGCTCATTGTTGCCTTTGTGTGGTTGTCACAATGCCGTGGTCCTCAGGAGCTGAGAAGAGGTCTGTTAGTGACACTTCACTCAGTCATCTAATACCGCAAGGCTGTCAACTATGATCATGGTTTTAAGCATTTTGTATTATGGTAATTCAACCATGCAGTATCTCCTCTCATCGTAGCTGCAATGTTTCAAACATCATATACCTCTTTGCCAGTTACAGTGTGTTGTCATGAGAATATCCTCCTTTTTTTCCCATTTGTTTCCATGCACTGCTACAAAAGAGCGATGTAGGGGAACGCTTCTAGTCTCAAGTGTTTAGTCTCAAACGTAAAACCTTCAGTCAGAAGTGCACCAGAGTATGACCATTTTACATGTAGCCTATATGTGAGTAAAATTTGCCCAGTGCGGAGCAAACACAGGCACAAAACCACCCACATATGGTCAGTGCATACAATGCTAGCAAGCCTAATGCTAACGTCTGTATATTGCAATATAGCTGGCTTTATCAACGATTTTGATATATTTTCCCACCCAGCAGTTAGGGAGCAACATTAGCATTCATTTGGAGCCGTGTTTCCAAATTCACTCTCTTTTAGCTCTGTTTTTGGTCTCTAACATCTCCTGAAGAAAATAGTTGGTTCTTTAGCTGCTAAATGCTCCTCTATGATCACCAACTAGTTGCTAACTGTGTCCGTCTGCCGTTTGGTGCTGAGCAGGTAGTGTACAGAAGGCTTTTAGAGCTTTTTCGCTGAAAACCGCTGCCTTGAGAACCAAAAAACAGGTCACAGGTGGGACGCCTAAACAGTAAGCTGAAACTCATTATGACGCTCCGTAAAGCCAAGTTTTCCCATTCTCTTTTGTCATTCATTGTAAAAGTTTTGATTGTAGCTGCTTTAAAGTACAATATATTTGACGTTATTATTATTGAAGACTTTTGACATATTGGATAATAATAATCATTGCCTGTATTCATTGGCATGCAATGCAGTCACCCAAAGTGTCCTATTGAAGCTGCCACTAGGGGACGCTGAAGTCAAAATGTTCAACTCCTGCACAGAGGGGCTTTAACTTCCTTCATACTATTTAAAAGTCAATGTTGTAATTAAGAACTGAGTGAATAGATCATAAAAGTTCATTGAGATTGATTGCACGTTCCCTTGTGCCCTGATCCGTTTTGAGATCGAGCTGATTGGCCGCAATTCAAGCAGCGTTCCTCAACAAAACATCTCTCAGTGAAATTTCAAACAACTCTCAACCAAATTCATGAGAAATCGGAAGGCCCCAGAGACATTTGCATTGATCAAGGATTTACTTTCACACACACTCCCCTTCTTTCACTGGCTGTGATTCAAGGTCTTTTTGGCTTAGCTTCTAATTCCTGCTCTACTGTTGGAGGGTTCAAACACACCGAGGACCGCATTTCTAATGAAACTCCCAGGGCCAGCCAACATCCCCTTTCCTTGACTTTCCTTGTGTTACAGACAGGATTACACTACTTCAACAACAGCAGGATAAAGGGTTTATCACCATCCCTGTAAATATCTATGTTTGCAAATATGTTGCACAAATGTAATCATGGGATGGGTAGTTCTTTTCTATGCAGACTGATTTTCACTTTGACCTGATGCTTTGAGTCTTGGAAATCTCCAGCATCTAAGACCTTATTCTTCATACTGTGGGCCATCAGCTTAAGCAGCACTGACTTGTTAATACTTCTGGCAGAGTCTTTCTTGCCTCACGTCAGGGGCTCAGCTCATCCCTCATCACACTAGGTTCTCCTCTCTTCAGATCTCCTAGTCTCTTCACTCATCTTCTCTGGATCTCATACTCATCCTGCTAGTAATGATTGCACGGCGATCTGTTTCACTTACCTTAATTTCATCCATTCTCTCTGTACAGCTTGTTCATCATGTCTTCTGTGTTTACTGACAGCCTGTGTTTGATGGTACACATGCTCATCCTCTTGGTTTTCTTTGTGATATGATTACAAGTGGGCTGTCCTCCCAGAGAGGCTGACTAAATCCCCCTGTAACAGGGTGGGGATCAGCCGACAGAGCATCGGCTCTAATCTGGCTAATGATGTCAAATGTAGACGTGGTAAAGGGTTATAGATAAATTAACATGTAACCTCAGCCAGGACAGCAGAAGGATGATAATCTGCCTTGTCATGATGGTGGTGAAGATGCCATTGAAAACTAGAGAACTAACACAGCTTAAACTCAGCCTTACATGACACTGCTGAGTACATCTACAAATGTTGGCTTCCTCTAAAGCAGACAGGCTGAACTTCTAAGGTGAATCCAAATTGGTGTTGTCATGTAAAAACCTCATAACAGCAATAATGTCTGTATTTTGACTTCAGGAGGAGGATTACACGGTCCACTGTAAAATATGAGCATTTTATGACCTTTAAAAAACCATCTCAGAAGCCACTGCGGGGTCTTAAAGGTGCTTGGTGATCAACTAGTAACAATTATTATTTTTCTCCACTACAATTTGACATTTTGGAGATTCTGGACCTCTTTTGGCAGACAGCGACAACATGCAAAGTTGAGGTTTCATCCCTTCTGTGATAATGTAAGCAAAAACCAATATCTTTTTGAGGTTATTGAGGTTAATTGCTGGCTTATGTCTGCAGAGTTTAATTTTACAAAAACATTGCTCACACAGTGCAAAGATTTTTTTTATACTGCATCACCTCCTAAATCTCAGCCTTCAGATAGGCAGTTAGTATAATGGTTACAAAAAAACCTAGATTGACTACCCCTGGGAGCCTAACTATAGCAACACAATAGAAATAGCAAGCTCATAATGAAAATGTCCATTCCAGAACAATAAAAATCATTGATTGTTTTTAGGTTTTACTGTTTGGTTAAGTTTGGATTTGATGACCTCAGGCTTTGTAAGCAAGTTCTTGTCAGAAGACACATCTAACATTAAAATCTACGAAATTGCACAAAATAATGTTATGATCACGTTATAGTCTTTGTAGACTGATACTGTAAATAAAATATTGTAAGTACATTTGCAAAAAAGAAACTCTTCATAGTCATGCTTTTAAATTCATATTCTTGTGTTATGTTAATTAAACTCAGTTACTTATTTCCATAAATAATTGTGGCGCCACATGAAAAAATGCCACAAAGAAACCCACCTAGATCTTCCAAACCGAGCTGTCTGTGAAGAAACTTTAAGCAATGCAGAAACCGCTAATGACCTTGCATAAGAGAAAGTTTTCGAAATGCTTGCTAGGCAAAAGCAACAAAATTACAGCTTTGCTAAAAGCTAGCAGGTGCAAGAAGATCACAAAGCAAGTGAAGGCCATTTTGTCTTCTTAGCGAACCATGTAACAACTTAAAGAGAGAGTGGCTTTGTCTGAAGCTGTTCGCTACGCTTCCCACAGTTAACCAATGAAACGTCAAGGCCACTGGAAGAGTCTGGTGTGTGCTCCGTCTGAAGGGCATATCAGTGGCATCATTGTGAATGTGCCCACCACTGACATTGTATCTAGCGATTAAATGATTCCCCACGTAGAGGGTCTTAAAGAAACAAACCATGTCAGCCAGTGGGTTGCCAGGTAGCAAAATGTCCCTCTTGCTGCCCCCTGAGTCCAGATCTGTGGGGATTTTACAGCTTCTTAGCCCTCTAAATAGCCTCTAATGAAAGGATAAAAGTACATTGATCAGTCATAATGAAAATATCTTTTTTCGGAATAAAAGTCTGTGTTCAAGACTTAGATTTAGATTCGGTTTCATCAATAAAAGTTGATGTAGAGAAAGGAAAAGTTGTACAGTTCACATATGCATAACCTTTAAAACAACTCTAAGCCAGTACATCGTCTTTGGCGATTTGAATTTTGATTGCCCAATTTGTGTTCCTTAAGAGTCTATCCAAGCTTTTAGTTCACACAAGGAAAATCAATGAATGATAAATAAATGAATCAGTGTCTGAAGCAGGTAGAAATTGCATTGTGTCATTTAATAATAGAAAACAGATTACGTTTGATGTTCTGAGATAACAAAATCTCTCAGGATCGGAAGCTCAGAATAAATATGAACACTACATAATTTAAATGTTAGTTTGAAACCATGACATAATTGAGTTGTCATTACAAAAAAAACAGATGAGAATTCAGATAATGAGAATAAAGTTGCAATCTTGAGTTAATTGGCGTAAAAAAAAAAGATGAGCAGCCACCACCACTCTGAGCTTCTGTAGAATTAGTTCTTTGACTACAGATCTCCTCTTCACTGCCTTTGCACCAGTGTACTTAATTTCCCTTCTTTGTTTGATTCCATTTTTTAACCCCTCTTTCTCTCCAGTTGCTGTTCTCCTTAAGGATGACTACTTTGTAAGAGGTGCTGGACTGCCGGGGCGTTTTAAGGCTGAGAGGATGGAGTTTCACTGGGGCCACAATAATGGATCAGCAGGCTCAGAACACAGCATAAATGGCAGAAGGTTCCCTGTAGAGGTAAAGCATCCTGTCACTACACTACACTTTGACAAATGTGCAATATGGGGCCTTGGGGGAACGCTGAATGTTGGAGCCTGGCAAGTCACTGGTGTTTAGAAATATGAGATTTTCATAAAGACCAAGAAACTCCTTCTTAACTGTTCTGCCTCATCGCCAAGAGGCACCGCTGGGTTGAGGGCTGAGGATTATTTAGACCAGTAAGTAGTAGTAAGTAAAACTTAATTCATCGTGGTCAGAAGAGATTTTTAGAGAAACTCAGACTTTCAAAGGATGCTTAAATGGCACTAAGAAGTCAATCAAAATAAAATAGCAGCTTCCTAAATTAAGTATCTCCCCAAGTAAAACGGTGCCTAAAATATAAATATATATATGTTTTCTCCAACAGGCTTCTAGTTGCATGAGAGATTTTTAAACCAATCCAACCAACAGATTCCTGAAGAGCTTAGCTCACTGTTATAAAGAAGAATGCCACAGATTTTACACATAAGTCGGTTTACTAGAAATTGACAATCAAACAAAAATTTGTGAGAAAATAATCCTGATAATGTCATCAGAGGTTATGTCAGTTTGTGCTGGGAGACCACAAATTTATAACAGAAAGTCTGCATTACAAACGGGGTGTGGAGTTTGAAAGATGTGTTGATTTATTAACAAAAAGAGGCTTACGAGTTGTATTATGGGAAGTGTAGGATCCAGCATTTTTGGAGCTTAACACATGCTAGGGACTAATAGTTAGGAACCCTCACATTCTGCCGCTTCGATTCTTTTTTATGTTTCTCGTGAGTTCCCTATCAATGACAGCACTACAACCTTTAACACCTTAAAACTCGTTTTTTTAAAAATTAATAAAATTACTGAAAGTCATCAGTGACTTAAAATTCATAACAATAAACAAATTACCTTTATTTTACAAAAAAACTTTCCACCACAGCCTTCGAAATAAGTAAGTAATACCATCTTTAATAACTAACCAGGTAGACTAACCAGCAGAGTGAAAAGGCAAAAGGGAAAAATAATGTTTTGTTGTAAAGTTTAAATGAAATTAGCACTAAAGCAGAAGTTCAAACTTTTCTTGCTGTTAAAATATTTTTTCAGAAGGTCACAACAGTTTTCTCAATGCCAAAAGACAAAGAGCAGACAAAAGGAGCAAAGAGAGAACAGACTTCAAGTAATAAAGGGATGCAGAAAAAAACTCTTATAGCTCAGATATAAAGGGTATTAAGTCTGAAACCTTTTGGTATTATTTATTCTAGTTCCTGGATTAAAGCAGAAATCCCATTCTTTTCATGTGGTGTGGAGAGCGAGTTATTACTGCCTTTCAAAACTGTATGATTTATAATGCAATTCCTATTCATTATCTAAAATGAATTTGCGTGTGTCATACTCTTACATTTTGTGGGGTTATATAAAATGTTGTTTTTTTTTCACCTCCTCTATTGTCAAATGGGTAATAATTAGTGTAAATATAACAGTGTATGAAAACAGGAAATGGCTGTTGGTGTGCCTCCCATCTCCAAACACACAGCTAGAGTCCTCATATGTTTGTTTCTTGGCCCTGTTCTGTGGAGCCCTCTCAGCAGGCATGGCTTTTGATGCTGAATGGCTGAGTAATTAGATTTATTTTTGCCACATCATTTTGTGTTCAGCGTAGTGTTAAAGGGCACCAGATTATATACAACTATTATAAAGCTGTTGCATATGGCTCCTTTGATCGTGTGCTTCTAAATTAGATGATGGAATTCACTTTAATGACCACTTTGGGCAGCTGTTAGAAAAACGCTGAGCATAGACGAGAAAACAGTGCCCTCCAGATACATTTATATCAATTATACATGTGAAATATAGATTTGTAGCATAGCATGTCTTTGTGTGTAGGCTAAGGTTTTTGCAATCAACCTCTTTGTCAAAGGACACAGATTCCAAAGCTCATGTGCTTGAAATTTAAAAGGATGGTGCTCTTTTTATATAAAATAAGAAAACAGGAACATGATACAAACCTACCGGGAGTACTTGGAAAGATTGTGAAATAGCTGATCAGCTGTAACACCTGAACACCATGTGCTGCAAGTTAGTACTGCAACTAACGAGTATTTTCATTGTCGATTAATCTGACAATTATTTTGTCAATTATTCGATTGATTATTTGGTCTATAAATTGTCAGAAAATGGTGAAAAAATGTCAATCAGTGTTTCCCAAAGCTCAAGATGATCTTCTCAAATGTCTTGTTTTGTCCACAACCCAAATATATTGAGTTTACTTTGATAGAGGACTAAAGAAATATTCAATTATTAAAGAAGCTGAAATCAGAGAATTTTTACCTTTTTCCTTAACAAATTACTCAAAACGATTAATCGATTATCAAAATAGCTGCCGATTAATTAAAAGCAGACAACTAATTGTTGCTGGTCTGCTACAAATGAGGGTGTATTAAAAACTAGTTTGCAAGCAAATAGAAAAGTTTAAATAAATAGCTGAAAGTAATGGATAAATGATACAGTACAAATGCAAACCTTTATCAAACCTGCTTAAACAACAGAGAAAGTTGGCAAGCCTAAACATTGATAATTACAGGATTACAGACTCCTGTACTGTATGGGGGAAAAAATAATCTCTAAGGATGGGTGACCCTCTTCTTGTACCATTTTTATTCTGTTAACACCTATGTCAGGAACATGTAGCCCAGATAGGGTTGACTTGACATAAAGTATGATGGGGGACTGTGGTCTCGTTAGTGACAGCATGGAAAAATTACCACATTAGAAAAAAAGAGAGCCGACAAAAGACAGCCACTCATGGAAACGTTAACAGTCATCATGGGAAATGCAGTAGTGCTGACCTTTCCTACAGGACATGCAAAAAGAAATATTCCACCCACATATCCACAAAGATCTTTCCTGTTAACTATACAACTGTATATATGTACCGTATATGGTGTACCGTATGCGCAGAAAAAAAAACAGTGGGAGGTCTGCTTTTAAAATATTATTCTCTTTATCAATAAGTCAGCCTAGATGTATCAAACATAATGTATTATTTCACACTCTGAACCAGAAGGTGAAGGAGTAGACTCAAATGATGGATGGTTGAAGGGGAATATGGTTATGCAGGATCTTGCCTTTAGCCATTTAACTGCTTCATCCTCTAAGATGTGGAATTTTCATATTTCATATTTATGCCTTGACAGAATTTGATGTATTTGCGAGTGTATTACATCTGACTCCACATGTGCAGCAAAACTCTGCCTTTATAAATATTTTTGTTTGATATACCCAGCGATCTTTTATAGTAGAGGTTGGCTTTTGTTTTGTTCTTCGAGAGCTGAGCAGCATGACCTTGGAGGTTGAGCTCCGGGGCTTGTTTGTCTCTGCTAAACAGAGACTGTTTCCCAATCTGCTGTCTAATTATCTTTCCACTCCAAATGAGTCACATTCAGCCCTGAGTTGCTTCTAACACACTGCATAAAGCATTTACTCTTACAGTGGTGGTCGTGGTGGGGGGGCTCTAAAGTGTTTATCCCACCTGCCCAGAAGCATGAAAACACACACAAATATAGTTCACACATAGGTACAGAGGGTGGAAAGACAAATCCAATGAGCTGTATTATGGAGCTGCTCTGCCTTTGTAACGTGGTTATGTTTTTTTTTTAAAAACTGCTCGGCCTGTGGCTCCTGAGCTTGACATTAATCTAACCACGGTCTTTTTCGTGGGAGTGAAGTGGGGAAATCGATAGATAGACCACCTGTTCGCTCAAACAGCACAATGAAAAATGAAACAGTGGATTTTTTTTTTCTGCCTCAGGGTACCATAGAGAGATCTTTTGTGATAATATATTACAGTGTCACCAAGGTTAGATTAATTATACATGGATTACAAATCACACCTTGGGAAGAGTACATGGTTGCACAGAGTACTGCGGATGTATGAAGTGCGGCTGTACAGTACCATACATTTCGCTAAGAGGAAAGCTCCAGTTGCACTGAATGTAAGTCTTCAACAGAAACTTGATAGAGAATATACAGTAAGAGTCTCAGATAGGTCAAGACTAATAGGGATTGACATTGCGACCCTGAGAGCTTGCACACTACAACTGGAAAAAAAACAAATAAGAAATAAGAAACTGTATTTATACAGCACTTATCAAAACAAAGTACAAAGTGCCTCACGGAGAGACAGAGAGAAAGATGAAATACAATACCACAGTGAAACATAAAATACATGAGGAGAAAAATAAAATAAAAACAAAATAAGAAATAATAAAATACGCAGGATAAAAGAAGAAATAAAATGAGAGTAAAAACAATAAAACAAACAGGGAGCTCAGATAAATCCAGGATATACTTTCCTTTAAAAGTGAGTTTTAAGAAGAGACTTTAAAGAAGACACTGACTCTGGTAGCCTAATTTCCTCTGGCAGGTCATTCCAGAGCCTCGGGGTCCTCATGGTAACAGCTCTGTCCCCTTTAGTTTTCAGCCTGGACTCAGGAAGAGACAGGAGACCCCTGCCCAAAGATCTCAAACTATGCAAAGGCTTATTAGGAGTTAAAAGATCAAAAATATAATCTGGAGCCAGGTCATGGAGAGCCTTAAAAGTAATTGATAAGAACTTTAAATCAATCCTAAAACGGACAGGGAGCCAATGTAAAGAGGCTAAAACACGTGTGATGCGATCATACCTCTAGGTTCTGGAGGTCTAGGCACAGACTGTATATAAGAAGTGGACGTAGTCATCGTGACGTCACCCGTTGGTTTGTGGACTGCCATTTTGAAGCTTCCAGTTTGGCCGACAGGGCGCCACCATGTTGAGTTTTTGCAACCAGTGCCACCGTGACCATATTTGGACAAGATGGTTGAGCTAACAGCCGTTTGCGGAGCTAGCTAGCTTGCTTAGCTAGGTGCATCTGTAATTCATGTTAACTGTCGTTTTAACAGGGCTGACAATTTTGTCTAGCGAACAACAGTCTTTAAACTAAATGTACTCACCAGAGAAAGTGAACAGCCTGGTTAAATTTACGTATTGCCGTGAGTACGAGTCAATCTAGCCTGATTGACAGGTCGCCATGTTAACGACTTGTCAATCATAGATGAGACATACTCTGCTTTATGCTCTATGTTAAAATAAATGGGACCATTATTTACTAAATGAACATCATTTTGTATTGAAGAAGGCATGGAACTAGCGACTGAGACCATAAACTCATTAGGAAAGTGTTTACTGAGGTAGTTATTCAGGTGAGAAGTAGGGTAATTTTGCCATTATTTCTAATGGAACCGTACTTCTTTTTGCAACCTGAAGTCGCCCCCTGCTGGCTTCTGCATTTGCATCATATTGCTGACTGGAAACTTCCCGCTTGGTTAAGAGCCTAGTAGCTGATTTCTGTACAGTCTGTCGTTTCAAGGTTTTTTGATTAAGACTAGAGAAGAGGCTGTTGTAGTAATCACGGTGTGAGGAAATACACACAGAACAGTTTCTGCATCTCTAAAATTTAAAATAGATCTTACTTTAGCAATATTTCTGAGGTGACAAACATGACTGGACAAGCTCAGTAATGTGTTACTCAAAACATCAATTTCTATCAAATAAGACACCAAGATTTCTTGCAACAGGCTTGATATATTGTGACAGGTAGCCAGTAGATGGCAGTATTTGTTTTGTGATATGTTGGGGTTTAAAAACAAGTGTTGTGTTTGAATTTAGCTGAAGAACATTTTTTGACATCCAATTTTTTTAAGCCAGGCAGTCCTGTAGAGAACTCTATATACTGAGGTCAGTGGGCTCCACAGGGAAGTACAACCGTTCGTCATCTGCATAACCATGGACAGAAATATTATGTTTACGGATCACATCACCCAAAAAGCATGCAGAGGGAGCAACAAAATTGGTCCAAGAATTGACCCTTGAGGCACATCATGGCGCAAATAACAAATTAAGTCAACAGATTTATCAGCAATACAAGCAGCATTTAGAAGACTGCAAAGACATGCAGCAAGTTGAGAAACACATTCACCAAAAATGGCTACTTGGGTACTTACATGTTTGAAGTTGCACTGGAAATATGGAAAATACAACCAAATACAGAGATGTACTATAAATACAGAAAAAAAACACAAGTAAATATACAGAAAACATGAATGCAGATAATACTACAAACACATCAATGAGATGGAACTAAAAAACTGATAAATATGCCTGAACGAGCAAATAATTGCCTCGATTTGTGGCGCATGGAAGCCAACAACCCATCAGTAGAGTTGGAAAATGAGTCAATGACAAATTGGGTGGTGGTAGAAAGGCTAACGCTAGGTGTATAGCAATTAGCTACAATAATATCTGAGATCATGCCATCATATTTGGTTGTGCTTGTGTTTTTTGTATTTGCACGTGTCAATATGCGGTGCAGTGAGGTCTGAGGGCCACCGTAGAAACAAAAGTATGATGTCAGTGTTTCCCATTAATTAACGAGACCATGGGGGCCTGTAATCTCATAATATATTACAGACCTCTAACGTTGTGTTTTGTGAGCACTGTTCCACGCTTGTGTAAGCTCGCACGCTCAGACACTTTGGCCTCCGACTCAAGACAACAACTTTTCTTACCGGCCTGTTTCTGTCACTAGTTTGTAAGAAGGCGATTAAGCTAGCTGCGCCTACATTTGGAGTGCACACGTATTAAAGCCTTCATGGTCATGACCAGTGTGAGCTGGCAGGCAGGTTAGCAACTTTATCCTGACAGTTTCGCTCTTTACAGAGACAAGTGTTGCAGTATGAGAGTCCTACCTGCAGAGAGACTGTGAAGTTTTCATTTTACGCGATACGAGAACCAAATACAACATTATTTATCAAGTTCAGATTGTAGTTGGACTTAATGAATTTAGCGTGAGGATACACACAATGCCCGGTTTTCAAAATAAGGTGTCTATACAGCGTGGAAATAAGATTAATTGGATTATATTCACAGAAAGTATAAAACATGTGTCCAATAAAAGTAAAAAAAACAACAATAAAATGTTAGGGAAATTACTTATTCAAAATCAAATTAGCTTTATTGGCATATTCTTTGATTCAGGGTTTTTGGGAAACATTAAATAAATTTGTTGACTTTTGTTGCTGTGTCATCACCATTTATAGCTATACAATGGGTTTATGATCAAATACTTTATTAGAGCACAACATTGTTTACAAGCGTACCAAGTTCTTCATAGATAGCCTCTTAATTTAGCACCAAATTAATGCAACTTTAAAATGTACAAAACTTTCTTACAGGGGGTATGCCCCCGGATCCCCCAGTGAGAGGGTTCAAGGCCCACCCACCATAGTCTCTTAAAATCCTGTGGGAAACACTGGATGTGTTTGTGTTTTATAGTGTCTGACACTCAAATCATAGCAACAGTAACTGCATTGCTGTTAAACACTAGTTATGTGTATTTACCAGGTATTTGTTTAGTTTCCCTCAACCGTATTAGGTCCACATGGAAATGGGCAAAGTCCATTAAACAGAGATCTTGTAGTGAATCATTCTTACTGTAGCAAACATTAGGCTGTAACGGTACATGGACACGTTATACATTACATCTGTTGTTTGTTGACTGTCATCCTGTTGTCTTGTGCTGTCCCTTTTCATTGTTTATCGTCCTTTATCAGGAAACTGTAATATGAAACACCAAGTTTCATATTTGTTCAGCAGCACTGTACATATTTTATGACACTTTATTCTTGAAAATGAGTGCTCTAGCACTTTGTGGGTGCTCAGATGAAAGAAAAACATAGATGGTTATGTCTGATTGGAATGAGAGAATCATACTGTGTTAAATAAGACACATTTACCTTATAACAGCAAAATGCTGCAGTAGCACAGTTGAAAAGAATAAAGTAAGGAAAGAAGAATAAATATGTGCTGCTGTGATAAATTTGAAGGTCTCTCCGCGCATAAACGCATTTCTTCTAGTTTTCTTGTCTTGCCTCTATGTCTCGCTGTCTTGGGAAATCATGCCAAACATGACTTTGTTTTTCACCTGTTTGTGCTTAAATGGGACTTGGGAATGCAGAGCGGCTCCCAGCACTTCTGTTTGCTCTCACTTTGTGCCGGAAAACGAACAGAAAAAATATAAAATGATTTCAGACTGAAGAAGGGCTCAGAAGATGTGGACAGCATGGGCTGTCTACTCTACAGAGAAAACTAGAGGCATTTTATAAAACTGAAATAATGTTTTGTTACCTCTGGTCTTTTGCAAGCTGCCTTTAGAATTTGGCTTTACATATTTCTCTGTACAACAGTATCGTAAAATTTGTACTGACTGAAACAAACATGTATGTGTCTGACTGTCTTAAGAGAGCTTAAAGATTGGTCAGACCACCCGTCTGTCCTGCTTAAAATCAACAGCTTCCATTGATATCCATGCATGTGAAATGAAGCTTGCATTACAATGAGGGGTTCTGTGTCTGAGCTCGCAAACATACAGTGAAACGAAGCGTGCAATCAAGTGATTCAAATCACTTTCGGCAACATTTATTTTTATTGGCTGCTATGAAAATGTCTGATAATTGAATATCCCGTTTTCCAGTGCGCCGTTAACAGGACCAGGTCACGTGAGCCAATGTCAGTGAGTAAATGAAGCCTAAGGGGGCCGGCATAATTGGGTAATGTAGTTAATAACATCTGAAGGGTGATGAATAGTCAGAACTCTTTCTTGCTGGGTTCTCAGACAACAAATTAGTTCCATTAAAGGTTGCAGTTAAAGGAACTCTAAAGGAAACTGATCACTTTAATTCACTTAAATTATCTGGATTGAGTTATTTTGTTCCTGGTGTTAGGCCTGCGGTACGTATTAATGTTTTTATCATTATTTATATGCTTATTTATATTTACTTTTTGCATCTATTGTCAGCACCGCCAATTTTGGCTAGGGGTTTCTTGTAATTTTCGTCAGGAAAAGAAAAAAGGCAAGCATAGCCTTTTTAATTAAATCAACATCTAGGACCTTTTTCTTATTGCCAATTAACTCTGTTCAGCAACATGAAAGGCTTTTTTCATTTGGAAGAGGCTCGAGACAGTGAGATGATGGACAGCCCCAATTGCTACTTTTAGAATCATTTGCCGAGTTTGATCAGCACTACCATTATATGTCTCTTTGAAATGAAAGGAATGGAAATCTTTTTTTATAGGAAACTAGAGCCGTGACAGGTATATGATCTATTCTGTGTACGATGGTTTCACATTAAATTTGCACATGCTAAGCTTTGTTGTGAAATCAGAAGTGGTGTTGCGGATGATTTAAGGTAATTGGGTGCAATGATTAAAAGCATACCATTCTGTTAGATCTCAACAGGAAAAGAGCACATTCCTGCAGTTCTCACTCTCTGCTCGTGACTTGTCTATGAGGACAGTCACCCTCAGGAATGGGATGCTGTATTTCTCTAGCACCATCTCGGAGTGGCAGAACACAAAGGGATGACACAGATTATTGTAGATTTATGGGAGTGATAAATACACCCTCTTTTATGCCCCTCAAAACAGCTTTTCATCAGCTCCTCAGCACTGTGTCCATGTGATTGATGACAGAACTGTTCATTCCTCTTGTCCACTCCTCAAGCTGTTTATGCTCTGTTTCCCATCCCAGATGCAGATCTACCTTTACAATTCAGATGACTTTGACAGCCTCAGCGCTGCCATCAAGGAAAGACGCATCATTGCTGCCATGGCCGTCTTCTTTGAGGTAAAGTATCTGAAGGTCAAGATAAATGTAATTGAAGAAAACCAAGACAACACGGGTGCACTTAGACACACACACAGACATTTTTATCCATGCCGGCAGCTGGCTCTCAGGGAGGACAAGGTTGGTCTGTCAGTCCACTACTTTGGTCCAGACTGAAATAACCCAACAACTATTGGATGGATTACGCTGACATTTGGTACATTCAAGTCCCCCCTCAGGATGAATTGTAATCACTTTGTTGAGCCCCTTTTCATGTAGCTTTTTTTCTATCTGTTCAATTCTTTGGTTTATGACCACAAACCTGCAAAATGAGATTCCCATCAGCCTCAGCTATACTTGCTAATGTTAGCATGCTCAGCTATATACTAGCAAATGTTAGCATGCTGTCATGCTAAATTAAGATAGTAAACATGATAAACATCATACCTTCTTAACATTAACACATTAGCATTGTCATTGTGAGCATGCAAGTGTGAGCAAGTCCATGCACAGCGGCGCCTCACAGAGCTGCTAGCATGCAGACTTTTGGAGATGCATCCTTCATAACCATTTAGTCTTCTCAGAAGAGTTATACTGCTCTTGAGGAAACCCACCCTTATAATGGCTCTTCATTTAGTTGTTGGTAGTATTGCATAAGTTTATAAAATGACTTCATGGACAGGACATGTACGTAGTGATTACCACCTACTGTAAGAAATAGTGTATACAAGGAGATGAATGAATTCAAATAAGAGAAAGAATGGATAAAGAAAAATTGACAAATTATTAGCAGAAAATATGTAAATTATACTAAGAAAATAACAATAAGAGTCAAACAGGATGGAAAAAAACAGCAGTGAGGCAATCATGACTTAAGGGGGACAGATGGAATTGTATTAGTCCAATTATGAAAAGGATGAAGATGTGAATTACTTTTTGAGGTTCAGAAAATGATAGATATGTATTGGAAATGATCTTTGGCACTGTTGTTGTGATAGGAGAGCAGCTGATTATTTTTCTGTTCTGTGGCACATTGCAGATTGCTTACTGAGATACTACAAATTGTCCCCTGCAGGTCTGCGCACATAAGCTCTTAATAGACAAGAATGGTCCTAATTTCTGTTAACTGTAAAAACACCTCAGAGATTTATGAAGCATAAAAAAAGCTTGCACCAGCAGCACTGACGACTTCGGGGATCCCTCTCCATGTTACGCTCCTAATTTCTATTAGCAGGATCTTCGTGATTGGTGGCAGATGATCAATGCGGGCCAACATTGAGCTTAATAGTATATAGGCAAGGGTCAGCTCTCGGGAAGAGGGAGGCTGGAATGGGGACACAGGTGTTTCTAATGTAGGTCTACTCTCAGACAGTGATAAAACCGTGTGTGTACCAGAACCTAAATGCCTCCGCTGGGTCCTGACAGCCCTATTGCTTACTGCAATTAGCACCACCATACACAATCCGCTGAACAGCAGTTTACAGTGTGAGGTTTTTTAAGCGGGCACACACACATTGGCTCAGATTTACTATTTCTAATCAATGAGGGGAGTTCTTCATGTGCTCCCCAAAGACCTATTAATGGCCTCTAAGGTGTGCATATTATCCACATTCAGCATTCAGTTACACACAATTATTCTCCTCTGACTGACCCGAATTAATGTTGAGCAAGAAAAGATTGTTCCCCGTGTCCCAGCGCTGTTTTGTCCAGTCTTGTCACTTAACTAGGACATTGGGAATATCGTAGAATGTGGGGCTGAACAAAATAATTTACAATATTTTTCAGTCATTGCAAAGAATTAACGGTGGGCCTAATAGATAAAGAGGGAATCAACTGTCCTCTGGAGACAGTAGAGCTAACAGCCAAATGGCCTCAGAGAGTGGCTGGATAGCATCAGCTACAGGAGCATAAAAAGCTCATAAAATTATCAGAGTCCAATGTTTATTTGTGGTCTTTTACATGGGAACCAAATCTAAAAACTATCAGTTGATTTTGTAATCACAATTTTTCAAATAAACATGCTAATCTAAGTATTTGGTAGAATAACTGCTATTTTTTGAGTTTGCATAATTAGTTGGGACAAAAAAGTCATAATACAATACAGTCATCTAGCACAACACCAGAAACAAAAGTCTTGCCTACTGTGTAGTCAGCCTACAAAATCTCACCAAAAATGGAACATCACAAACTCCACAATAGTAACAGATGGTACTTGATGCTGCTAGATTAAATTGTATTGTAGAGATGCTGCCCTTATTGTGTCCACCCCTTGCATTTTGTTCATATTGATCGTCTTTAGTTATTATGTTAGATTATTATTCTAGTTTTATTATTCTGGTTTTGTAATCCCTTTTGTGATCCTTTGACTCTGGCCATTTCCTACAGCTGGGCCAAAAAGACAATCCAGCTGTGGACCCTATCATCCAGGGATTGAAAGGAGTAGTGCATCATGGTAAGTAATAGGGATGTAACCCCCACTTCCAAACTCTGCTTTATATAGAACAATCTTATGTACTGTATGTGGTGAATGCATTTAAATATGTCAATAAATATAACAACATATAATAGTTATTCTTTGTTTCTCTGTTTGTTTTTTGTTTGTTTATTGATTTATTGTCCACTGATATTGTTTTACCAAAATCCCCTCCACATGAAACAATACTGACTGAATTAAGTTCATGTGGGATATTCAAAAAGCAATTATCCCTTACAAAATCACTTTGGCATTGCTGTTGTTGATGTTTTGGTTGATCCTAGGAGTAAATTCCTTGTGACAGTGCAGACATTGTGCTCCTCCCTACCTCCATAGAACACAGATTGATGCTCGAGCTGCGCAAACATTTGGCTTCTTCTTCTTATTTTTCTTTTTTTTTAGATCCCAAATTAGAGTCTAAACACAAGATATGAGCATAGTTTAACTTCAAAAGGAGGCAACATTTGCAAGATACCGCCTCTCCCTTGCTAGTGTAGCGCCACAGTAGGGAGACCTCCCAAGGAGCTTCACTCATAGAGGAAGAACTATTAATTACATCCGAGCCTCAATTAGACAACACTGACTCAGACATACATGTATAGGCTCTTGTGGGCCGTGGCTCCTGCAAAGGCTCATATTCACATATAAACTGTTCATGTCTTGTTTTGTATGCCGAGGCACAATTATTCATTGCATATCGTCTTAAATGAATGCTGCTTTGCTGGTTCATCTGCATGCATGACTTATGCAGACCATAAGCAGATGCTTTAGCTTGACTGTGTAATCCTTTACTGCATCTGGGGACACAGCCGCTCTGTTTACACGGACACGTATGACTTGTTTTACAACATGCCGCTGACAGTCTTTATGTGAGCATAAGCATACACTGACAAGGACATCTAAATGGATGAGGATCTATAGAAGCATGGAGTAATTACTCTGTACCCATGCTGGTTCCACAAGACCCAGTGCTGGGCTTCATTGAGTCGTTTCTAATTATAATTTCACTCCCTGTTCTTTCTGGAGATGGATGTTTGATATTGTGCAATGTGTGCTGGTGAGGTTGTGGCCTGTTGTGTTGAGCATTGGGAGAGAAAAAGAAAAAAAAACATTTTCAACTTTCTAAATAAGCAGGAAAAGAGCTGAAAAAACAAGTAAGGGGAAAAAGATCACTTACAGACCCATAGAGATTCTTAAAAATACATGTGAATTGGCCTCTGAATCAGAAAATGGGTCACTTTGTTCATTGAAATCTCTATGCTTTTTTCAATTTCATTGAAGTAATTGCAATAAAGAAAGTAGCCTTTTTTTCTGATTGGTCTGTTTTCAGCTTGGAGGCCATTTCACTTGTGATTTTCATTTCACAAAGGTATTTACGCTCCACTTTTCTTTCCTTATATAATTTTGATAAAGGCGTGGTGCCAAAAAAACGCTTGTTATACTAGATTATTTTCTGAATCTCCACCAGTCTCCAAATGTGCCTGAGCTGCGTGCTGTGTAGCTACGCAGATGTTCGTGCACAGTATCTCTCATCTCACAGCTGAAAGAGAGCTTGATGTGGGTGTGGTGGTTTTTTGGACTCTCTTCCTGCTGGCTGCTAAATGCTCCTCGCCTCCTCCCTCGCCAGGGTGGTTGGTTTTCCACTAGCTCGTTATCCCACAGTCATCCATCCATCAGCATCTTGGCGGCCCATGAGCGATAGGGCACGTACGCTGTCTGAAGACAGGAGAAGAAACGCTGTGAATACTGAATTTGACTCTGAGTACAGATGAGGCATGGGGGCGAGGCATCCATTGCCTCAGTAGAATCAGTCCTATCACCCCAAACCTTCTTTTAGATAAGGTCATGAGCTGTGCGAGATTGGATTTGACATAAATTCAGTTTTATTTGGGTTTTTCGTTTCATAATTCAAGGAATCGAGAAGCCCACTTGCATAGCCCACACAGGGTATTTGCAAGAGATAAAAGGATCTTCCTCTGGATCACAAACATTTCCTGCTTGTTTTCTTTTTTCCTGTTTTTTTACACAGCATTGCCTTGTTCTGATCACGGAGGATAGAGCAGATGTAATCATTTGGATCTGTCTTAATCCCCATGGCCCATGCCACAGTTGTTACACTGAGCAGAGCCGGCTCCCACCTAGCCACAGATCAGCTGTCAGAGCAGGCCATTTTATCTGACTCCTCTCCCTTTGCTCCTCTCTCAGCCCATCTGAGCACAAAGATCTGGCCCGAGTGATAACAACTGGTGAGGCTTTTAACTGCAGTCACCATCATTGCACCAGTGGAGGTTCAGCAAAAGCAGTTAAAATGCCACAGCGCAAGTGAAATGAAACAACCTTGTAAATGTTGGCGTAAATGTAACTCAAGATATGCAGGGTCGTTAGCAAAGCGAGAGTGAAAGATATGACATTTTCTGTACCCGTACAGCAAACTGTGCTCTTCATTTTTGTGTACTGACAAGTATTGATCCCATTCTCTACCCAGAAAAGGAAACCCACCTCAGGTCGTTTATCCTGAGGGATCTGCTGCCATCGTCAGTGGACAGTTATTACCGATACACCGGCTCTTTGACCACGCCGCCCTGCAGCAAGGTAGTGGAGTGGATCATCTTCTCCAGGCCCGTGTATTTGTCCCACTCACAGGTGCGTTTAGTCCACACACATACACAGACACACACACACACACCCAGGCTACTACATTCTCAAGTCACAGTCTGATCCTATTTGCATACACACAGTGGATCACTTGCTGTCCCACAGTGTCGACACATAAGCCATTTTTCCTCTTATCTATCTCTCTTCCCTTTCTCCTCATTCCTCCCCAACTCCTCTACATGTGAAACCATAACTGCCTACATAGTGGGTGATTAAGCAGGAAGGGGAAGCTAATTACTGGCATTTGAAAGATCGCGGGAGAGGGCTCTTATATCATGCTGTTGGTCTGAGAGAGCGACTATAGGGTCTTAAATAGAATACTGCTGCACATGGAGGCTGGTTATCATACTGTTAAAGTTGTTTAAGTGCAGACATGTTCATCATTAATTTAAACGTTCATTGATCTAAAATATTGCAGTAAAGGTTTAATGAATATGTGTAATGGAAAATGTTGCATTTTACGGCACTCCTATGTGCTTTACAACGGCTTACCTGCAACTGTTTATGCCGTTTGTGATTTTGAGAGATAATGTATGCCAAATCATGCCCCGAGCTTTTTGCTGATCCCATACAGAGTCCTTTGCTGCATCTTTTATACATACAGTTCTTGGGTTACCCAGCTGCATATCCTCTAGAGCGTTGTATGCTGTAGAAATTTGCAAGGCTCAGTGGAATTTCTATCAACTTGCAGGAGGACAAATCTTTTGTTCAGAAATGACTTCTGCTGCAGGAATATTGACCACCGCTACAATGTTTGTGACGCTCACAGATAGTCTTTTATGAACCTGTAATTCATTTCTTCAAGCACGCATAGGACACATTGATTCCACAGTATCTGTAATGTGTAGTCATTACAGCACGCGGCAGGAGATCATTCGTAGCAATCAATGGCTACAAATTTGCCCCATTGAGAAGTTACAGCCCAGTAGGTAGCCAGGATGATGATTGAGGTCTGTGCCTGCTGGTGCCTGTGGTGTGAATGTTTCTTGCAAATACTGTGCTCCAGTTGTGAAGAGTCAGCTGCTGGCAAGTGCCTTCAAATGCAGTCCTGCATGATATATTATATTCAACACACACTCACACAGAGTAACAAAAGCACTTAAATTTACTTCAGTTTCTATTCTCTGTTTCTTTCCATCTAGCTGGAGGCCTTTTACTCCATCTTTACAACAGAGCAACAGGATCATGTGAAGTCTGTCGAGTACCTGTGGAACAACTTTCGGCCCCTGCAGGACCTGGACAATAGGAAGCTCTTTAAGTCGGCTGTAAAAGACGCATGGCAAAAAGACTTGACTGAGATCCTGGGAAGCCCTCATAGCCCTGAGGCTTCAAGAGGTAAACTTTTTTTCAGGTCTGAATCACATTCTCCCTGTCGTTTGCATTGTAGCACTACTGGTTTAATCTGAGCATGTCCTATAATTATAATCATGTAATTACAATCATTACTTAATATTTTATTAGTTATTGCAAACTGCTGCCTGAATTACTCAGCGTAGACAGAGACTGCTGTAAACTCAAGGTCTGATATTACAGTTAAGTGTGGATTAGTATTACATTATGCACACTGTGTGTAGGCCAGGGTTACGCCAGAGATCAGCAAAATCCCATCCCATCCAAAAGCAGCCCAACATCTTGCAATTTTTGCTAGTCTACAACCTTCAAAATATGTCCTAATTGACTTTAAGCCCCTAGCCCTTAGTTACTGTTGCTATGCATGTCAAATGTTCATTTCTTGCACAGCAATGTTAAAGATTGCAGCTTACGTTAGACCAGATAAACACATTTTCTTTTGTCCATTCCTTAAACTTTGTGTTTTTTGTTTTGGAAAGACTGAAAAGAAGAGACCTTTAAATTCCTAGAGTCACTCTTAATAGAGTCCAATACTCCTCGCTATATCGTGTGGAGTAAGTTTGATGGGCCGGCCATGCCGAACTATGATTGCACAAGGTGGTTAGCGTATGGGCAATCGGCAATTGACCCTCATGCTGAGGTGGCCAGACTGTTATAGCAAATAGTGTCTAATGATGCCTCCAAACTAATGTAGAATGTGTCAAAAACAACATGTTCTTTGTAATATGTATTATCACAGGACCTGTGAGTCCTAAAATATGCTACAAGTCATAATTGTATGGGGCTTGTATTACCAGGGGTCCTCATGGATCCTATATTTATTTATTTTTTTCACAAAGACTGCTCAGTTTTTCAGCACTATTTTCTTTCTGGTCTACAGTGAAAATTATTAATGAGATTTTTGATAGTATTTTTGATCCAAATTCAGGAAGCTCCCCTAGCTACTAAGAATTGAGTACCATTCATAGGGGCTATTAATAGGTAATAATAGGAATTTCAGGAGATTTTGGACAAAGCTTGTCCTGTCAGAATAGTGCATGTCATTCTCTCATTGTTACAACTCACTCTTATATCAAAGAACATATTAACACAAAGTGCAGACCTCATGCAGGGCTTGATTAGAGTATTTTTATTCGTCTTCGTCTTTCATGTGTGCATCTTGCAGTGCTTGCTTTAACAGAACAGTACAGGAACTATGGAGACTAATGAGAAAGGCTGCTGCGTCATAAAGTGGTGTTGTTGGTGTCTGGCGGGGAGAATTGATTGGGAATGCTTGTGATGAAGTTGGAGCACTCTAACAGGGCCGATCAGCAATCATCATTAATATGTGGCACAGCTAAAATAGACCCATACAAATTAAGTTGTGAAATTGCTTTTGTGGCATGTCAGTGGGCAGAATGAATGTGGACCAGTGTCTCCTTTTTTTTCCAGCTTCCTTTTTTCTCCCTTTTTTATCTTTGTGTCTCTTTCTCATTTCTATTTCACTGTGTTAAAATGTAAGAATCCATACTTAATGAGAGTTGCAGGAAGTATAAAGTGTCAGTCATCTCTTCAGGGGTGACATCTGTCAAGGGTGTGTGTGTGTGTGTGTTATCTGCACACAGTAAATGATGACTTTTGCTTATAAAATGTTGTGCGAGCCAAGGCCACACCTTGACTGACTGTTCCATCACTGTGACTTTTACAGCCACGAATGTTGTCTGGCCATTAGTGATGAAGAGCTAACCTTTCTGATGCAAAGTGCAGGTTGCAGATTAGTTTGTTTGGCCCAGATTTATTGTTAGTGTAGTAATAATGACAAGATACAGAGGGCAGTAATTATTGTGTTTGCTCTAATATTGTATATCTGCATACATGCAGATATACAATATTATATTATATTCTGTGCGAAAACAAGCTCCGGCACCCTGTGCATGCAAACCTTTTTCTCACATGGAGATGAGATTTAGTGTACCTCTATTTTGAATTTGGTTTGTTAATGTTGATATTGTCCATAAGGTTGCAACTAACTTTAATTTTTTTTTTCATTGTATTAAAAAATTGCATAATGTACAATTTTATTTTATATGTATATCAGGCATTGAACTACTAACCAATTCATTTTCTTTCAGTCAACTAATCGATTAATCAAAACAACAACATAATCTAATATTATAATGGTAGTCAGTGTGAAGACTGTGGTGGTACCTGTAGCAAGAGTCATGCATATAGACTGTATCAAAGAAATACGCAGTGTAGTGACCGTGTTGGTATTTAGCCAGATGACATGCAGAACTTAACTTTCCTTCAAAGTTCAGAAAATACCAATTATTTATGTTAAAGTTGGCTATATTTCTTTCTTTGTGTTTTCAGTGAATGTCGGTCATCTACACGCAGCCTCTTATTGACGTATTGTACAGCCTTGAGAGGAGAAAGGCAGTCGAACTGCTGTTTGTTGACAACAGTCAATTCATCCGCTTTATGGTAGAAGCTGCCAGGAGAAAGATTCATGGTTTACTCTGAGTGGTATTGCAGACTGAGGTGAAACCTATATCAGGCTTATTTGGGGGGTCAATACATCAATAGCATGTTAGTCAATAACATGTTAAGCAATATAGCCAGTGATGAGACATTAGGGAGTATTCTCTCTCTTAGGGAATATTTTGTTTTTCAATTAACCTAACCTGGAACACTAAATCATTTTGCTGCCAATCTGCCTTTATATTTAAGGATTTGGGCCTTAGATCAATTACATTTGACGTCATGTTTGCTCAGTGCACCACATGTAAGAAAAATTGCCCCAAAATTGATGAAATAGCATGAATTAGCAAAAATACAAGTAAGAATCCCAACTCTTATTTTATTGCAAGGTGCACTAGAGGTGTTGATAAGACATGTATCTTGTTGATCTTCACCCGCTGTTGATTTTAGTAGTACTACTGTGCATTTCTAGCCAGCATTGGTGATCAAAAGGATGATGACTGTCATGATGGTAATGATGCAGGCAGTAAAATCACGATGATGTCTTCAGCTGTTATTAAACGGCTGTTGTTGAGCTACTGAAGTTGACAAAGAACATCTGACGGGTTATAATGCATTTCGCACCTGTCACACCTCATCAACACCCCAGCATATTCTCGGTATTGTTTTTTTTTTCTCCCCCTTTTCCCCTCTGACTGATTTCCTCTCACCCTGTCTCCCTTTCACATATCATGGTGCATAATTTGCACCACAGCTTCACTGTGTAAATGGAAAAAACTGTGGTGACTATTTCAATTTGACAGAAACCCTCTGTGCATATAATCAGTCTACACTGGTTCCTGATTGCTGTTGCCCTCATGTGCTGAGAAGCATGTCCAGCTTGTCCCTTACTCATACTGACAGATTCATGTGGAAATATCCATGCTGCAGCCTACACTGCCACCTTGAGGCAGACCTACAGGGTTTTGTTTCATCCTCCTCCTCATACATCCTGTTTAATGCTGCACAGACAGGAACTTGCAAATTACGTATGGGCAGGAAGTTGCAGTATTAATTGTTCACCACACATTTATCACTACACCCAGCCTGTATTCTTCATGGAATCACCTGCAGTGTTGTGGCATGAAAAAGACACAAGTGTCCGGATTGACAATGTACACTGACACCTCGAGGTTATGCCTGACTCCAGTCCACCCACCGGGAGTGTTTTTGTTATTGAGTTACTGTATTATCTTGCACCTTTGAGGTTTCTCAAGCGGAAATGGCTTTCAGTCAACTCAGCAGCAGACAGTAATAATAGGCTTGTTAAAAGGCAGCCTGCATTCTGCCCATACACATAAATGGACACAAATACATGTGGTCAAGCAGTCCTCCCAGCCATAGCCTTTCATGTTCACCCAGCTACATTCAGATGGTGTGACACAATTTTATTTTATTTTCCTTAGCGTGAAAAGCAAAATAACTACTGCTTCTTTATCTTACTCCACTTTTCTTGCTGCTCTTTCAGTGTGCAGCAGTGCCCCAGTGAGCATGAAGATCTGGCCGCTGAACCAGACTGCATTGATGGTGAGCTGGGAACGCCCTCTGACCGTCTACCACCCGCCAATCACCAGCTACATGGTCTCCTACAGCTGGGTGAAACGTGATGTGGCTGATGAAAAGACCTTCGCTAAGACTGGGGACCAAAGCATGGTGAGCGTCATTATCACAACTGCTCACACCAGACCAAAGCAGTTTGCCAGAACCGCCTACATTTTTGTCTAAATGTCTTTCTATTTTTCAAGATGGATGTGTTTTGAACAGCTCTGATTGGTTTGCAGAGCCTGAGATGTCTCTGGCAGGATCAGAGGGTGACTGCATCAGTGACAGTGTGTACAGGAGGTGACAGGTTTTGATGAACGATGTTGGTTGATATGAGGGCCCAGACACTCACCTGTCTGAGACACGTAGGACTGTCACACACACTGACAAGTCTAACAGATATATATATATGTGATGTGTTGACAAATGCAAGCATTTTCCATCATCTTCTATTTTCCTTTTTTTTTACTCTATGATGCAGGTCACTATATTCAGACTCATGCAGCAAAACGTAATTCAGATAAAAGCATTATAAACCAACATATGGTTTATAAAATGCTTTTTTTAACAATTTGAAAAAATCCAACCTGTTTGTATCATTTGAATTTTATAGATTCCAGTTCTCAATGATTATTCACAGTTTCAATTCCAATATGGTTAAAAAAAAAACAGGTCAAATGTTTAGATGGCAAAACTAGCTTTACTCTTAAGTGTTTACTTTGACCTTTATTGTTTCATCAAAATAATTACATCCACAGTCTTTTGAACTGAACATTCACAAAATAAATACATACAATAAAAATGTATGATCCACAGGCAGTACATACATTTTCTTGTGGATGCTGTGGTATTTGACACTGCCCTTTTTTCTCTTTACTCATCTTCCTCTTTGCCAAAGAGAACGGTGTGTCGCAGCTTAGTATCCGTGAGACATCAAACACTGAACACTCTTTCAGGGTGACGGCATGCTGCCTTACATTTTTGGTCAGATTTGATGTGCAGCCTGACTTACAGCTAATTAGCTTTCCGCATGCATTGCACTTTGCTTTGTCATTTGCCATTTCAAAGCCTGATAGTCACGTCCTTGCAGATATCTTGCCTTTTTTTTGCAGTGCTAAGGGTTATCATGTTTAGGAACCGATAAGCAGAACCGAAATTAAAACATTTTTAACAGGTACCCGGTTCTTGGCTTTTTGGATGTGGTTGTTATTTGGAACTGGCTTTCGGTTCCCAACTGTCTGTTTTCAGTTAGTGGAGGCAGCTCTTTGAACACAAACTGTCTTCTTTGAGTAACCAATGCAGGCAACTGTGCAAATGTAGTCCTTTAGATCTCAGTGAAGTTTTTGACACCAGTGATCATACAGTTCTGCTTGTGTGCTTTAAGCATTAAGTTACCACTTCAGTTCTCACTGTCTCTCCAACAGAACACTCACTGTCTCTACAGAAATATATCCTCCTCCTGCAGGAGGTTACACCTACAGGGCTCTTCTCCTTCACGCTATATATTCTTTTCCCTGGTAAAAAAAATCCTTCCAGTTGTGGGATCCCAACACCCAGATGTGCATCTCTTTAAAGCCCACTGGCCCCCAGCTGCCTTTACAGTCTGCGTGACGGCCTCTTTAGATATAACAGTAGAGGGGGCCAGTGGGCTTTAAAGAGATGCACAGTTCAGGGGCAAAACAGTCACCCACCAGTTCAGAGACCTAGGATCAGTTGGTGGCCGTTCTACCTCCAGCTTGGCCATACGTTCCAGTAAACACAGTTGTCATTGTCGTGAGTGGGAAGCTGGTGAGGGATCATGCATTGTTGCTGCACCAGCAATTTCTACTGGTTGATTTGAGCAACTGCACAGAGGGAGTGGGATCCGAGGAGAATGGTGTAAACCTTTGCTCATCTCCTCCACCCAAGAATGTGTTTTGCGTACGGATGTATGTGCAGAGTTTTTTTTAATTCATATATTCATATTCTTCAAGAAGATTTTGTGACATTGTAACCAGTTTTGGCGGGCTTCTCCAGGGCACAAACACTGAGAGTGGGCCTTTTGAAAGAAACAATACTCACTCATTCTGAGAGAGAGAGAGAGAGAGAGAGAGAGAGAGAGAAGGAGGAGGAGGAGGAGGAGGAGGAGATGTAATTTTAAGAATTGTTTACCTAGGTAGTTCAACTGTTTTGTGGAAAAAAACATATCAGATGCAAATTATTTTTCCATGCAGTTTATCTTTGTGTCTTAAAACCTGCCTGGAGGGGAATCTTTAACTTACAAACGAGTTACTGAAGCTTAGAGACAATGGACAAGCAAGTTGAAATATGCAATCAGGCTTCCTGCAGTCAGGAACTGCCTCACAAATTAAATAAACTAAAGCTGTCCTCAGCTGAAGATAAATGAGCATCTATTTCCTCTCCTTTAGATTACTGTAGCTCATTTAACTCCCGCGCCCCTCAGAAGTCCATGTCTCTCTGGCAGCTTGTTCAGAAAGCTGCCACAACAGTTCTGTCTGATATTAAACATAGAAACCATCTCACCTCTATTTCAGTCTCTCTGTGCTGGTTACCAGCTGCCTTCAGCATCATCCAGCTACATTTACTGACCTTTTAACTTCCAATCAGCCAAACTGCTCTCTGAGGTCCTCTGGCTGAGCCGTCATATGTCTACAGTCTAGTCCTCATTTTTTTTTGTATTCTCTGGTCTTGACACGAGACACAAGAGGGTAGAGCATTCTCTATATGCTGTGGTATAACTTGATTGAAAAGCTTAGATGTCAAATATGAAGTAGAGTCATTTCTTAAAATCTATATTTGAACTTTGTTGCCTTTCAAGCTGAACGACGAAGTGGACTGGTGAGACTTGTTTGTGGGGAGACTTGCTGTCTAAACAAATATTAGACTGACTGTTTTACAAACAATGGATTAATATGAATTAACGCTTTGTTTTTGTTTTCATGTGATATCTCTGTTCTGTTAAGATTAGTCATCTACTGCAAATGGCTGACTGTGTCAGTGAGCTGCTCTGTGCACTCCATTAATGCAGTCGATCAGTCGCTTTTGCTGACAGTATTCTCTGCACCTCTCTGTCTGCTCTCAGCCGGTCTTATTTTGCCCACTTCATTTCCATTTCAATTTTCACTTTCTATCTCAGGACACCTTTATCTGAATTATTTTAGAGAAATACTAGCTCTCCAGCACCAGAGGCAAACACCCATCCGTTCAGAAGGCCATTTTAATATAAGTAAAGCCATCTGCAAGCTGCACAACACAATTAACTGAGCCCAGACACAAGGTTTTAAATGGCATAGAACTTGTGAGTCATAGACTGTTGATAGAACAGCGCCTTAGCATAGAATGTTTTCATTTTAGGCAACATGAATGAACAGCATTTACAGTTTTAAATGTATTTTGAGCTACATATTGAAGCATTACTTAAAATGCTTTTGCATGTTGTTCTCAGTGTGTCCGTATGTGCATTTTTTTTTTCTCTTGCAGAAAGCAGTCATCACTAATGTGTCCCCTGATGTCCTGTACCTGTTCAGAGTGCAGGCAGTATGTCAGCATGACCTGCGCAGTGATTTCAGTCAAACACTGCTGTTCAGAGGTACCGGGTCAAAACCCTCCAGCCTATGAGTCACTATGTATTTTTAAAGAACAGTTTCCTGGCATGTCAGACACATGAAATGGATTTTTAAATGCTTGCTTGCTCTTTACTTTTCAGCGAATACAACAAGAATATTTGAAGGGTCCCGTATAGTGAAGACTGGGATGGTGAGTTGACCAGAAGATGGCAGTGCACATTTCTTTTTGTGTGTTAGTGCCATTCACGTGGTTCTGTTGGATAAGCACTTTTTCTCTGACTGTCTCCCTCAGCCGACAATATCTCCAGCGTCCTCGGCCGACATGGCTCCAATCAGCTCGGGTTCCTCCACTTGGACATCCTCTGGCATCCACTTCTCCATTGTCTCCATGGCAACAGGCATGGGCCCCTCCTCCAGTGGCAACCAGGCCACAGTGGCATCAGTGGTGACGAGCACCTTGCTGGCAGGCTTGGGTGTAGGCGGAGGGGTCATCTCTTCTTTGCCCAGCTCTATTTGGCCCACGCAGGCACCCCAAGCCACGCGGAACCCCACCCGTCCATCCGTCCCGCCTGCGAAGTCCAGCACGGAGCAGGGAGCGCCCCAGGGCTCCGACGCAGACGCCCCGTCTGAGGAGGGCCAGGCTGCACGTGACGGCGAGGAGGACGAGGAGGAGGAGGGGGAAAGAGAAGGAGAGCAGGAGGAGGGAGAGGAAGAGAAGAAGAGAAAGAGCAAGACTGCACCTGATAATGAGGAAAAGATAGCGAACGGCACTGTGGCCAAAGAGCCTTTAATCCCCACCCCCGCATCCACAGCCAAAGAGAAAGGAGATGGAAGGCCTACAGACAAAGGCAGCACAGTACCTGCGAGCACTGGTGATGACCAGTTGGTCAACGTGCAGAAACCCACAGATGTAAATGCAGTGGCCACTCAAGAGCCTCGTAATGACAGCGCAGAGATGCAGATTCCCGAGAGCTCCACGCTGTCTCCAAAGATTAGTAGTGATGGAAAGAGTCTCTGGCCTTTCTCTGTCCACACCGGTGAGCAGAACACTCTATTCCGCACAGATATGACACAATATTGTTTTGTGTCTCTCAACATCCTTCCCAAGCAGAAACATCCCTTTTGAATTCTCAGTCTCAGCTTGTTCTTTTGTTGCCCGCTATCATACAAGGCAAGACTTCTCTCCGAAGCAGAATTCTGTAACAGTTATAGAGCCCAATTTAGCATAACAAATAACTTGATTTAAGAGTGTAACAGCACTGGTTATCATCTCAGTCAAAGACAAAGCTCCAGGCTTTTGTGTCACTACAACACAGAGGCCTGGAGGCAGAAGTAAGCCGTCTGCCAGAGGGGTTCTGCCTGGAGGAATTCCTTTGAGTTTACTTGAAGGGAGAGCGTTTTTGAAGATTTGTTTCATTTTTTTTGTGGGCCATATTTTTTACTTTCACAATGTTAGAAATAGAATAAGTGTCTTGAACAGTGATTGAAAGCTACCAGGCAGTTTTCATGCAATACGTTTGGCCCAACCAAAGCTGGTTTGGAATTCTGTTTTGTGAACAGAACAGAATAAATTGATGAAAGATTTTTCATTAGATTCGTGTGAAATGGTGAAGGTTTAATGCCCCTCTGTAGAAGTGGAAAATTTCTGACTTTGGCGACTCCTAGTGGTAGCATCAAAAGACAGCACCGGATGCTAATACACCCGTCTTGGATCTGACCTTGAGGCACAGAATAAAAGGTTGAAAGCCACACAGAGTGCACCAATTTTCTCCAAGATTGTCTCATTTTATCCACAAACACTTTGGCCATCAGAGTCATTTGAAGCGTGCGATAATTTCATAAAACTCACTTTAAAGTTGGCAAATGAGATGGTGTCGAATATTTTTAGGCATGTATTCATGTGCATGTTTTATGTTCCAGACAGGACCATCTTGCCCAACATGACCCGAAACCCCCACCTGGGGATGGGCAGGATGGTGTGGATTGTCCCCTTGGTGGTGGTGTCTGCTCTCACTCTACTCTGCCTCATAATGCTGCTGATTGTGATGGTCTACTGGAGGTGAGTTCAGTATACCTAACCTCATTCCAGGCGGGACATTTTACTGCTCATAAACAGGAAAATTACATTACGTCAAGTGCTGGCACATACCGAAATTCCTCATCTTGATAAGGGTGTATGAAACCAACCTGCCCCTCACCCACACTGACCCCATCCAAACATTTTTTCACATTCACATTTTGGGTTAAATCCAGACCTGCATGCATGCATGTCTGGATTTTCCAGTCAGTCTGCTTCACATTCAGACCCGTTGTGTGTTAAGCGCATATATGCAATTCCAAACAGCCTGGTAATAAGACTGCTCTCTTGCCTGCCATGTCGTACATCAGGCCCATCTCCCACCTGGGTGAGGGGCAGGAGACCTGAAGGCCCTGCAGTGCCAGTAGGGGTCCCAGCTGTGTCTTCATCTGCTGGGCCATTTTCCAGGCATGCTATTGGAGCCCCAGTAATTACACTGGCCAGGCCACTGGCACATGTGGGATGGTTAATGAGTTACAAATAGCACTATGGGCCATTTCCTCAGCTGGTCCCATGCATATTTACAGTCTGTTTCTAGTTGGGTAGCATTTTTGTTTATTTGTTGAGTTTTCTTTGAAATGTGTTAGATGCATTATTATTGATTTTTTTTTTCTAGAAGACATTTTTTAAGTGTGAGATCGCTACAGCAAATGTTTATCGGCCAACAACACCTTACTGTGGCATTCTGTGGTGTCAGATAATATAGGAGCGCGCGGTATAAATAACATCCTGGTTATCAGCTCCATAGAGGTGTTCAAAAAGCAGACATCTGAAAACAATATGACTGTAGCAGATTCAGTCAGTTGATGAATAACTGGGAGTTGAGGTATTTGAGGAGAAGAGCTGGGGCAGCTTTGAGATTAGAAATGGCCATCACAGCTGTTGTTGTGACAACTCTGACAGTTCACAGACAATGCCTGCTTCCCCTGGGGAATGGACCATGACGAAAGATGAAATCAACCCATTCACACTCTCTTAATCTTCATGCTCTGCGTAGTCTCTCTTGGTGACAGTGCAGCTATTAAAACCAGTGCTCACAGATGTTTTGGTCATTAGCAAAACAATTCATGTGATTTATAAATGTTTATTTAAAAATATGTGATGTGATGGCCCCAACGGACCATCTTTTGAAGTTTAATACACTTTTCTTATTTTTTGTATTTTTAAATTTTTTTTTTGGTAGTTAATCTTATGTTATGAGTCTGTCTACAATGCAATTAATTGCTGGCGTTACAGTACACATCTGGAAGCCTCTGAGGCTGGAGGTGCTTGTTGGAAGCTCACAGATGTTCAGGGAAAAAATTCTCATTTCATGTTAGTGACTCTGTGCTGCTGATTCCGGTGTGAAATGGGATACCTCCATCTGTTTTTTCTTTACAACTGACATCCATTCAGAAAGCCTATTTCATCCCAGTATCCATTCCCCCAAAGCAAACTATTCTTCTGAGACCATGGGAGAGAATCAGGTAGGAGGTGTCGACTATGTTGGCTAGTTAACCGCACCACAGCTGCACCCACAGGGAGCCATTAGATTGGGAGGCTGTGATGCAAGCCAGGGGGGAGTTCTCCTCCCTTTTTGTTTTTCAACCTCCTCTCTCTCTCTCTCTTTCTCGCTTTCTCTCTCGCTCTCTCTCTTTCTATATCTTTTAAATCTAGTGCAGCCTTTTTATTTTTGTTCCATCTCTCTCAAAGCATGACAAGCCTCTGCTCCCTCCTCTGCATCAAGTACAGGTAGGATTAAACCTGGGAAATGGTGGTACTGGGATGAAACATAGGTCTTTTATATGCATTCATTAGTATACATTGTGTGTGCAAGGAGGGAGTGGAGGCTGCAGAGGATGTGCAAGGTGTTTAGGACCTTAGAGATTCCTCACTTAGAGACAGTCTCTCTGTTCTTCAGGAGCTTTCTAAAAAGTAAGGAACTTTATTATTATATATTATTATTTTTTATTATTTCTTTTATTTAAATAACTTACTATTTATCATGTAAAAAAAATTGATTTCTCACTGCAGGGAAGGATGTCTTGAAAAACTGTACAATTCATCTTTTTTTACAAAGCTGTAATATCCCTGGAAATCATTGAGATTTTCTCTAAAGATCACTGCTGCCTTCAGCCTATTGGCAAGATTTTCAGTTTTTCAGTCCATGAAGTTTGGACCTGTGTAAATTTTGAGCAGGATTGTATAACACTGGGCACAACAATGTTGTCTTTTTATAAACAACAGGAATTACTTATGGATAAGTAATGAATATCACAACTTTGTCAATACAAGTTTTCATATGAACATCTGTGCACCGGGCAGCAGCTGTGGCAGCAGTCACAAACATTTTCCCCAGAAAAATGCACCTTTAAGTTGCTTTTGTTGTCCTCAAAGTGGAGTGGGACCTCTTGAATGTTGTGTGTGTATTGCCCTGGAGAGGGAGTCTGTGTTTGGATTAGTTGTCTTCGGTTTGTGTAAAGAGCTAAATTTGGTGATGCGCAGTGTGTCACTATGAGTTGTTTAGCTGTTCCCTGTAGTCAGCTCAGACTGCCTTTTCAGGAGCCGCTCACCGCCAGCGACTCTATCTGTGCGTGATCAGCTGTGTCTCAGCTACTCGGGGGTTTTCATTAGCAGTTTCTGCCATCCTTGTGTCATTCTATTCAGCTTTTAGATGCTGATGTTGACAGACCGGATCTGAGAACAATGAGATAACGACTCCCTAATAGACTTTACTGTGGCATCCCACTGTACTTTTCTCTGTGTCCCTGTAGGAGATTTTTCCAGACAGCTCACTTCTATGTGGAGGAGAGCAGCTCTCCACGGGTGGTGGCCAATGAGAGTATACCAGTCATCCCTATACCAGGTAACACATATTTCCTAATTATATTAGATAATGTATAATCAGGATTCACTTTGTTGCTTTGGTTGTTGAGATGAGTGATCCCCAACCACGGGTTCTTGTGTTATGTGGTACACAGGGAGTATGCAGTTAGTTTGACATATGTGGAGAGATTGTGGAGTAGCTCAAGGGAAAAAAATAGAAATTACAAATGGAATAAAAATAAATCCTCATATTAAGTCAGCTGTAACACCAGAACAGAGTGTGTGAAAGCTAATTAGTATTCAAGGTAAGTTTTAAGTAATGGATAAACAGTTTGAATAGTTAACTTAAAGTAATGGATAAATGGTGAAATAAATGAAATGGTTTTGTGGAGGAAGGGGTACTTGAGTTCATTTGACAGGACTGTGGGTGGACAAAAATATATAATTTAACCTAAAGAAAAGTATGGTTTTAAGATGGAAACTACCGGTAAGTACCAAAAAAATCACAGAAATGACAAAGCAATATTGACTGACTTTAAATAATGTATATCAACAGCTATAAGCTACCATTAATTGTTCTCAAATGGGTTTCTCTATTAAGTGATCTCTGCATTTGCACAGTTTCTGTTCATTTACATGTGAAATGACTCTGAGAGCACCTCTGTAGGAGTTGTCAGAATGTCTTTTTGTAGCCTTTAATGTCCCAGACAGTGGCAGCGCAGTGGCAGCTAGTCGATATCAGACTTTACTTACAGTCGCTTTAAGCTCAGGGACATTTCAAGGCTGTGATATTGTAGTTAAAGAGCACAGTTGATGCCGTTATTGACTCCACATTCATTAAGCCTTTATTGCTTGTCCTTTTTCTTTCTTTCTTTCTTTCTTTCTTTCTTTCTTTCTTTTACTCTCTTAGCAACTGTGGCAATGTTCTCACAGCACATATATTCTGACTGACTGACCATGGATTTGAGTTGAATATGTGCTACACAATGAAATTCATAAAACGTTGACTTTATGGGCTCAGAATTTGCATTACCTAATACTTATTATTACTTGATGATCATGTCTGGAAAATGACAGAATGAGATATTCCCATGTATTTATATAGCAGATAGTACTGTGGGACATGCAATTAAACATGTGAACATACCTCTGTACAGTTTTATTACCTGTCAAGAGGGTTAGGGTTAGAAATAAATTGGCCCAATCAGCCCTACTTCATTTAAATATCTAGCTCCTAAAGCCACATTTCACCCAGAACCACTCTGATGAACTGATTAGACTGATAAGAAGTCTCTTGACATTAATACAGGGGAGGGGGAGACATTTTGATAAATGAACAGATTAACAAACCAGACTTCTCCTTTACGCTCTAACCACTGAGGCAAGTAAGAGCCTGAGCGGCCTCAGCTGCAAGGTTGCATTAGTTAAGACATTGGCCACTATCAGCAGCAATGGCAGCTGGGTCCCCTGCACTATTGTCCCAGTGTGATGGTGACCAGCCCTTATCCAAGATCCCTCTTGTGTGATTTGGAGCTGATTTGGCTCAGATGAGACAGATGCTCCCCCACGTATAAACGCTCAATATACCAAATGTAGACATTTGTGATAGAGGTTTGTTTGCTAAAACAGCATTGCATTTGTTTCCTTGTGTGCACTGACAACACACTCACATGTGCACAAATTCTCAGAATACATGGTGATGAGAAACAAACCCTAATAACGCATTATGGACCACACACACACAGAATAATGGGCATTTGGCTAACTGTTCTGTGTTTCTCCTGCAGATGATATGGAGGCCATCCCCGTCAAGCACTTTGTTAAACACATCATGGAGCTCTACAAGAACAACCTGCAGGGTTTCTCTGAGGAGTTTGAGGTAAACATTTAACATCACTAAAGTGAGGATTTGTTTTGAAGCATTGTTAACTTTATATATAACTTGGCAGCATATACATATAATAAATTCTGTTTTTACATTGGCGTTGAGTTGAGTTGGTCAGTACATAGTGGGGAAAAAAAGATCCATTGTTGCTTTCCTTCATGTTCACAATGACTTTTTACACACTGATCAAGAGGAGGAAACATGGAGTCTTGTGGACTGACAGGTGACTCATTGATTACAGTTTTGGCGACTGTTGTCGTGCATCATTAGCACTACATGGACTCAAGCGGGAAAATCAAAGTTCGGTCACAGACAGCAAGTCTTGCAGCCTCATGTATTGATTTATGCTGAGCTCATAAATAAATAATTGATAATGAGCATTGTCATAAATAGTAATGAACGGGTAGAAACAGGACAAAGAGATGCTTTTTACTGCCGTACTACAAGGGGATCAGTTACTGTGTGGTTGCTACATTTCATGCATTTCGCTCACTTTTTATAGGCTAAGTTTGAAAATACATAGTTTGACTACATATATGGATCTCAGTTCCCCACCAGCAGATGGATTTATCATTAGTAGTTGAGCTTTTGAATAATCTAAAATCCAATTAAAGCTTTCACACCAGCCTAAACAAACATCCAGACAGGCAAATGCACAAGAGTTTGAGCTGCACAAACAGGTTAGGTGTGAAAGCACCCCAAGACTGGAGAATACATAAGTACATTTGTCTTTTTTTTCCGGAGTCAAGTACTGATGGTCTACTCAGCAAAGTTCATCTATCCCTCTATTGTGCGCATGATGTCTGCAAATGGGCCTGGGTCTGAACCGTGGTTAGAGATGATTCTATGTGTGCGTTTGTGTGCAGGGTTGCTAATTTTGAGCAGATGGTTGGGAGAAAGATGGAGAGAAAGATCAAGAGAGACGGAGGTTAATTAGAGAAGGTCTGTCTGCTGGTTGAGTGGATGGGAACACATTCTCTATGTAACCAGGTTAGGAAACGAGGCAAAAGTTTCACCCCTAGAGGATTCCTTCTAATTGGGGTCATTTGATGTGAAGCTTGTGCGCATAATTTTCAAATGTGCCACAATGAAGCTGTGTTAGAAATCGTTGTTGTGTTTTAGGGGCGGGGGCAGGTTCACTGCGGTGTGGTGTGGTGTAGCGAAGAATAAGAGACAAAGGCTGTCCTGCTGGAGGCCCGAGTTCAAGCCCCAGTGGCAGTAAAGCATCTGCTCTGCTGAAGTGTCCTTGACCAAGACACTGAATCACTGCTGGAGGTTCTGCTTTGCAGTTTATCCTGAGCTCTTTATTTTATATAAAAAAATTTATATAAAATCACTGTAACAGTTTAAGTAAATATAACTTCCTTAGAGGAGGTAGTTCCTTTATATCTTCTCTTCTTGTTTAATAAAATCAATCTTTGTCTATTTTGTCTCTCTTCAGGAGGTCCAGCGCTCCACAGCAGATCTGAAAATCACAGCAGAACATTCCAATCATCCTGACAACAAGCACAAAAACAGATACATCAACATTGTGGCCTGTGAGTCAGCTGTAAAATCTGATTATGATGTCTGCCGCTACGAAATCCAATAATGTTTTTATAACATGTTTTCATCCTTTTAATAATTCACGCAAATATGTCAATGCTTTCCCTAGATGACCACAGCAGGGTGAAATTACGAGCTCTGGCGGGGAAGGATGCCAAACATTCGGATTACATCAATGCCAACTATGTGGATGTGAGTTTTTACCAACCACTTGACATTTTTACGCAGGTCCCGTTTGTTTTTTGGGTGTGGGAGGTTTGTGTGTGCTGCATGGTCCTGTCTTGAATGAAACAATTACTTAAAAGAAGTGTTCACACTGCTAAATGGCACGATGACATCTTTATTTGAAACATAAATTGAATTATCAAAATTGTAAAACAGACAAACAACAATAAAATAAAAAATTTGTATTTGTTTTATGAGATATTGATTAATGTATACATATTTATAATTTCTGTGAGCTGAAGGAGTGGATTTCATGACCTATCTATGTCTTCTGTCAATAAAACTAGTAAGCTATATCAGGGGGTTGTGGGGTCATTTATACAATATCAATTGCCTCTTAGTAGTAAAAATATTCCACCGCTCTCCTGTTTCAGGGCTACAACCGTCCCAGAGCTTATATAGCTGCTCAGGGTCCTCTCAAGTCTACATTTGAGGACTTTTGGAGGATGGTTTGGGAGCAGAACACTGGAATCATCGTCATGATCACCAACCTGGTGGAGAAAGGAAGGGTAGGTTCACTTTAATCATTCACAAGACATGAAAATATCATCCAATATCGCTTATGATGACCGTTTTTCAGACATGGCACAGCATTCATTCACAGCATTCTGTCTGTTTGTGTCCTTCAGAGGAAATGTGACCAGTACTGGCCGACAGAGAACAGCGAGCAGTATGGGAACATTGTGGTGACGCTGAAAAGCACCAAAGTGCACGCCTGCTACACACTGCGGCGTTTCCTTATAAGGAACACTAAAGTTAAACGGGTAATTAAGAGTCAGACTTAACTAGCGATTTTCTAAATTGGGTTGCACCATTAGAATTTAAGGAATGTCTTAGCTAGTAAAAACTTTAGTACTTGGTAAATGAATTGCTAGGAATCATCAGTAATACCAATCAAAAGCAATCAACTAAGTAAACAGGAAGTTCCTGTAGCATCACACGCTGTAGCATAATTTAACCCAAAAATAACAGTTTTATGGGCCAAGCGTTATGTTAAACCTAGCTGCTAATTCTTTGCAGGTATGGCTTTGTTTTATTTATATATGCATACATGGAGAAACATATTGTTCAGAGTTAGAGGTATGACATTTTGTAATTAAAAGTAAATAAATAATTATAATAAAAATTTTGCCACTGTACATTGTTATGAGCCAGTATTTTGAGCAAGTGTCAGGTCAGCTGTGTTGACCATATTCCATATCATTGCTTTTACTCTTAAATGTAAACAAGTCGCATATTTACAAGCTAGTTTTTTTTTCAGCTGTTCAGCTGTAGCGACATATTTACTGTTACACATGTTAGAATAAGTTTGAATGGTGCGGCCCCATTTAATTCATTGTTGCATCAAATCTCTACTTCGTTAACACTTCTGTTGGAACTTATTCCCTACTTGAAGCAGCTGATGACGCAGCCGGCCCGTGATAATTTCCTCTGTGGATGATAAATGAAAAGTTTACATTGTGTTCTCACCAGGGTCACCCGTCTGCTCTCATGTTCTAGGGTCAGAAGGGGAACCCAAAAGGGAAGCTAAATGAGCGCGTCGTGGTCCAGTATCACTACACTCAGTGGCCTGACATGGGAGTGCCAGAGTACACCCTCCCTGTCCTCACCTTCATCAACCGCTCATCAGCGGCTCGCACTGCCGACATGGGCCCTGTCCTGGTGCACTGCAGGTACAGTACTCATTAGCGAGCTCCTGGGCTAAATGAATGTTACTTTTGAGCTTCTAACATGTGCTGACTTGGTTAACAGCTCCCTCTATGGGCCTGCCATCATGCTCATATTGCTTTGTGTTGTACTCCACAGTGCAGGGGTTGGGCGCACAGGAACGTACATTGTCATTGACAGCATGCTTCAACAGATCAAGGACAAAAGCACAGTCAGCGTCCTGGATTTTCTCAAGCATATCCGCACACAACGCAACTACCTAGTTCAGACTGAGGTAAGACACCCTTATGTTGTGAAAATTGGATTCCTTCTCTTAAATTAAAAAGGTCATCTATGATTAAAGTTGATAGGGAGTTATGAAAGCTATTCAGTTTGATACTCTAAGCTCAGGTACGGTAAAGGTCACACTTTTCAACACACAGTACAAACTGTTATTCACTGACCACAACACAGATGAATGTATATAAGACCTGACCGCAGTCATGTATTTGAGTCTGTGGTCCTTTTCCGTGTCCTTCTAACCTCATGTGCATTTAAATTCCCTCTACCCTCACTATCAGGTCTGTCTAGACAACCTCCAGTAACTGTGTTTTCTGGCTCTGTTTAGGTTTTGCCTCTTATTACGTTTCAGAAAGCCTTCCGACTTAATTTCCCAATTGCTTGTTTATTCTTGCATTCCAATAAATCATATAAAAATGGTGTAAAGTACTTTGATTGCATCTGTATTGCTAATTGGAGTAGCTGCATCAATAAAAACAATGTAAATGTTTAGCCTGATGCTCTGGGTGTCTTGCTACTAATCTCACTTTACTGTCTCCTTTCCTGGGTCCCTCATATGGAGGCCCAGAGTGTTCCAAATTATACAAATAAAGACAAAATAATAATAATAATAATAATCCTACTAATAACATTATTAAACAAATTTTATCAGGCTTCTACTCACAGTAACAGTGTGTATTGCAGGCAGGTTGGAAAGTATCTAAGTAGATTTGCGTGTAGGTATTTCACAGGGTTATATTGTTTATTTTTATGTTTAATGACATTATTTATTTCATAATCATTTTTCTATATATACTGTGGAACCATTTGGGTCTCAAAACCCTCTTTCTCCCCTCAGGAGCAGTATGTTTTCATCCACGACGCTCTGATGGAGGACATCCTGAGCAGAGAGACAGAGGTGCCCGCCTGGCAGCTGCACAGTTATGTCAACAGCATCCTCACGCCCAACTCGACAGGCCGCACACAGCTGGAGAAGCAGTTCAGGGTGAGTAAACCTTTCGGTTAGACGAGCTGTCAGCCGTCTGCAGTGGTACCACAACCTGAAGGCGGTCTTTGGATCAGAAGCTTGTTAGCAATGTGCTCTGTGGCTTTTCAGTTCCAGACGGGAATAGATAGAGAGCGTCTCTGATGTTGGCTGTAATAAAGTCGTGTCTGTCACCCCTGCTGCCTTATGCAAAGCTTGATGAATGTTTCATCGAGCTCCTCTTTCAACATCAGGAGAGAGAAACTAATTGCTTGCACATAATGTCACTTCCTCTTGAGCTTCACCATCACATCATTAATGTGAAAGACTTGCTGTTAATCTTGGGTGTTAAACAACGTTATATCTTATTTTTCATGTTTGATTTTAATTTACAGTGACTCTCTCAGTGACTAAAAAAGATTTTCTGATCTTCTGGTCTTTGCCCCCCTCTCTCACCAGCTTCTGACTCAGTGCAACGCGCGCTTTGTGGAGTGCTTCAGTGCCCACAAAGACAGCAACAAGGAGAAGAACCGCAATTCCTCAGTGGTTCCCTGTGAGTATCTTATCTGTTTTACCACAGCACACTTGCAATGGAACTGAGGTTTTGGAGAACCAAGGTCATGTCGAACATGTGATGCCGTTAGAGGGCTGGTTAATAGTGGGTTTGCGTAGGAAGTTATAAGGGTGGATGTCTGTGTAAATGTTTAAATTTAAAGGATAAAATTATATTTGTATACTATTAAAAGTATTTCCTACAAATAAAACCTGTTCTGTGTCCTTCCTTTTTGAAATAGATGGAAATTAGAGTCCTAATGTAATATTCTACATTTTCCTATTTTTCATTCAGTAAATTATTAAAGACGATTCGTATTCCAAAATTAGAATATATTTCCATAATCCTATAAGTTAATCTTTCTATGCGTTCTCTGCTCCCTGACGGGAGAAGGAGGTACATGTTGCTATGGCAACAGCAAGGACTGGTAATGAATGTGTGCATTATCCGCCAGTGTGATATTATAGAGGCCTTTTGTATTAAAGTTTTTTTTTTTTTTTTCCATCTCTCTGCCTCTCCACAGCGGAGCGAGCAAGGGTCGGACTCACCACTCTGCCTGGAATGAAGGGAACAGATTACATTAATGCATCCTACATAATGGTACAGTGTGAAAGTCTGGCTGTGATAGCCACTGTGTTTTTTGAACAATGTTATTGACACGTCTGACAGTTCCTGATGACAGTTCCTTAGAAAATGATCAGTAGTCTGTCAGCTTTCACAATCATCCATCAGTGTGAACGGTCTGGGCTTTAGAGAGCCTAACTAGCTCACCTCTTGTCACCTCAGGGTTACTTCAGGAGTAATGAGTTCATCATTACTCAGCATCCTTTACCCCACACAACTACAGACTTCTGGAGGATGATTTGGGACCATAACGCTCAAATTATTGTCATGTTGCCAGACAACCAGGGCCTGGTAAGTAACTCAGAAAGTCTTTTTTTTCTGGTCATTTTTCACTGTTTGTCCTTTCAGATTTGTCAGTTTGTCAGTTTTTTGATCTAATTTAGGGCAAATCTGTAATCTACTCTACATAGAGACAGAAAGCATAATGACAGCTTAATCTATTAAACAAAGAGATAGTGGTAAATAAAGATAAATAAAGACACCTGCAGTATACCTTGTCTGACTTGTTTGTTTGACCCGTCGTTGTTTCTCTGCAGGCTGAGGATGAATTTGTTTACTGGCCGAGTCGGGAAGAGGCCATGAACTGTATAGCCTTCACCGTCACGCTCATCAGTAAAGACAGACTGTGCCTCTCCAATGAGGAGCAGATAATCATCCACGACTTCATCCTTGAGGCTACGCAGGTACCTGGAGCTCTGCTTCGTTACACATACTATATAGTGTTGATTGCTACGATGTGTACGTTCATTGCCTGGAGTGACACTCCTCTCGTGTGTGTGTGTGTGTGTGTGTTTGTGACAGGATGACTATGTTCTGGAAGTGAGACATTTTCAGTGCCCTAAATGGCCCAACCCTGATGCTCCTCTCAGCAGCGCCTTTGAGCTTATCAGTGTCATCAAGGAGGAGGCCATGACTCGAGATGGCCCCACCATCGTGCACGATGAGTACGTTTGTGTTTACCTCCACTGTATGTTGTCAACACAGAGAAAACCTACTTGTAAGGGCAAACACACACCAACAGGTTTTATCCATCCATCCATCCATCCATCGTCAACCGCTTATCCTGTGTACAGGAGGTTTTATCCAGGGGTTTCAAATTGGAGATCATAAACCAGTCCAGGACTCAGTAGATAAATATGATAATTAACATTTTTATTGCATGTTGTTGGTCCTGCTTATTGGTTGTATCTGGATCGGTATTTAAAAGGTTGAGAAGTGGCAAAATAATCCTGAGATGTTTAACTACCTTTGATTTGTTCTTGTTAAACTGTAGTGTTTGCACTAGTAGGATGGAAAATAAGCCACTACTGTAAAAGTGGAGAGCTCTCCATGGCATGGGGTTTGAAAGTCCTTCGTTGTATGCCAGCACTGAGAATCTACAGGCAGCTACTAAGATAAACAGAAACAACTCTCCAAAGTCCCTTAGTAACCAGGCAACCATAGTAACTTCCATGGTCGTTCCCAGCTGACGTCTTTCCTACAGACCTTTGCACCTCAGCTGCCTTTAGCGAAAACATCCGCTAATTGGATAGTCTGAACCACTGAAGGTCCAGACGATCAATCACACTTCATCCCTCATTTACTTAAAGCTGGTGTCTGAAGTTGTCACAGACTTAATAAGAGGCCACTCTGTCTCCCTACCCATTTACACTAGATGCTAATATGATGAGATGCTAATTGCAAACAACAAGGATCTGTATGGAAGTGGTTGCTTGCATGTATATAACTTGATAACTTCACAGTCTGCAATTTGTTAAGGTCATAATGAGATCCAAACTCCAAAACTAGAAACAGCCCTACATATTGTAATTTTTGAAGCACTTAGTGGATGTTGTTTTTTATGAACACTTAAAACAGGAAGACAGTTTAGACAGATAGTCGTCCCGCAGAGCTGATTCTGAACATTTCCACACAGGTATGGGGCAGTGTCAGCAGGCATGCTCTGTGCCCTCACCACACTGTCCCAGCAGCTGGAGAATGAGGGAGTCGTCGACATCTATCAGGTGGCCAAGATGATCAATCTCATGAGGCCGGGAGTCTTCACTGATATTGTAAGTTCACTTTAATGTAAAATAAAAACAGGAGGGATTCAAGATTAGCATTTTAACAACTGGGAACAATTAAAGATGAAATTAAAGCTGCGCTCATGAATGTTTTTATTTATTTAGTATAGACTATTATCAACCACTTCCCCTCAGCTGTATGGTGTTTTAGCATCTTTCAGCTAATTTGTGTTCAGGTTTTCTGGCCTGCATCTTTATGGTTTCCAGCAGCAACAGGCAGCTTTGTTCTCAGAGATGTCCCGTACACTACCTGCCAGGCAGACAAACAGGTAGAGGTTTGTCCAAGCTTTTTAGCTGGAAACAGTTGTCTAATGGAGGTCAATGAGACTTGTTCAGCCATAACCATACAGTAATTATGTGGAGCCAATGAGCTAAAATAGTCTAAAAAGCTCCAGAGAGCTGCAGAGTTGGGTGTTAATTATGTTAGGATCATCACTACAAGCAACCCCTTCAGTCATTTGATTCAATGTTTATATCAAAAACACTGATTATTGCAGCTTTTAATGTAATGTCGTGATTTTCCATAGTTTTGTAGCATACGAAAGGATGTGATCTGTAATGTCGTGTGTTTGTGTTCATGTGCGCAGGAGCAGTACCAGTACCTTTACAAAGCCATGCTCAGCCTGGTCAGTAACAGAGAGTGTGGTCTGAGCCCCATGCACATGGACACTAATGGGGTGATGGTGGTTGCAGACGAGTCGGACCCTGCAGAGAGCATGGAGTCGCTCGTCTGAGGACATTCTTCCAGGCACTTAATTTGTAAAGAACTTTTCTGAGGCCTTTTTTGCCAGACTATTGATTAAATGAATAACCTTATTACTTTTTATACTGATAAAGGTTTTTTGATATTTATGTTTTTGTCCTTTATTTCTTGTCTTAAATGTTATCCTGCTGAGCGTTTGCACCTGTTTAAGTTGACGTGAGGAAAAAGCAGCTCTGTCCAGTTTGCACTATACTATCAGTGTTACTGCCTAAATCCAGTGAGTGAAAAACGTTTCCCAGTTAAATCCTGGCATCACGACACAACTGGGATATTTGGACCGCATTGAGACGAACCTGAAGCGTGAAGAACCAGGATGAGTTACGGCGATCCACTACCCGATAATGTCTCAAAACAAAACGTCACTTCACAACGTAGCCCAGCATGCATTACGTCACTTTTGTCACCTTGATCAAACTGTTTTGAGGCTCGGCTCCACAGGGGCGAAGCTCTTTATCACATGTTAAGAGACTATTACCTGCCTATTATTCATATATTGTCCAAATATCTCACTGCTGTCTTGTATAATGTGGCTTGTTTTGTTGAAGTGTGTTACAACATCTAATGTGAACATTTATTGCTTTTTACAGGGATTTATATTGTTATAATTGTTTTGTAATATATATATATATTATATCCTTAATAGCCAGCCAATGTTTTCTTTTTTTAAGTATTTTGCCCATTGTCCACTGGCCTTGGTGTAGATTTTGTTTGTTTTTTAAAGTATTCTGTAGCTTGTCATGAATAATCTACAACGCTCAATTTTCTTTCATCATACTTTCCAGCTTTTCTAACCTCAACCGTCGAAGCTGTTAACACTTGTAAAGGGTATCCGTATTGAAACAGTACAGTGGCTACAAAAAGTATTCACCCCTACACAAACTTTGTTTTATTGTTTGACAACATTAAATCACAGTGGATGTACTAATGACTGATTCTTGACATTGAGCAACAGAATAAAGTACTTTTAATGTTAAAGTGAAAACAAATGTCTACAAAGTCATCTAAATTAATTACAAATAAATTTTTCCAGGTTGATATTAATTAAAAACACCTTTGGCAGCATTTACAGAGAGTCTGTGTGGATGGCTTTGTACATCTGGACACGTTTGCAATTGATAACGTCTAGTTTAATAATAATTGTTCTGCTAAAGACCTTCATGTATAGCTGTGGTTATATATTTTATATTTTGTCATCGGTCTGATGAAAAAGAAATCATCTTTCAGTTCGCTCCCATCCTCCAGGATGTCTTTATATTTTACTGCATTCATTTTACTCTCCATCCTCACAAGCCTTACAGGGAAGCATCAAGGGTGTGTTCCGGCAGATGTGGGGTGTTTGGCTTCCACTCCACAAAGCATTTACTCATAAAACCACCAGACGCTTGTTCTTTGCCACTTTTACATACAGCGGTGACTGATTAAACTCCAGGGCAATGCCTCCTATCTCAGCCATGACACCCTGCTGATTCTTCAAAGCTCCCATGGCCTCTTTGTGGTCTCACTAGTGCCCTCTTGCCCTTCTTCTCAACACACTCAGTTTTTTAAGGATGACCATCTCCAGGCAGATTTTAAAGCTGTGCCTCTTTCATTTTCTGTAATCGTATTATGGATATCCTGTGCCTTCAAAGTGTTTCTTATATGCTTCCCCTAATTAGTACCAGTAAACCTGTCACAGATTTGTTTGGATTATTCTTTTTTGTTTTTTCAGTGATGATTTCAGTCTCATAGTAAAGGGATGAAAACGTGCAATCACTTGTTTGATATTTTTTTTTTTTAGGCTTTTGTTTTCACTTTTACAATGAAGAGGGTTTTTTTCTTTTGATCAGTGTTGAAAAAAATCCTAATTACATCCACTGTGATTTTTTAAAAGTTGTAAATAAATAAAAAGGAGGTGAATACTTTCTATAGGCACTGTAGTTTCTTTCTGGGAAGTGATGCTTTATTTGTAACCAAAGATGTGGTTCCAGTTTGCAACATGTAAGTGGTTTTATCTTGATCTATTTAATCAACTAGAATTTAAAATTAAAATCAGAATTAAATCTTGCAGTACAGATTATCAGTCTCAGAGGTGCGAATTGAACGAGAGTTCAGCATGTTTCTGTTCGGGCCTCAGGATTACAGTAGATAATCCGAGTTCATTAAGTTTTCCTCACAATAAGATTGAAATTTCAGACTGTAAAATGTATTTTATTTGGGCTGATATTCTGTCTCTGAACTATTTTGTGGCTATTAATTATAAGCCCTTTTAAAGCCTGAACATCCCTCTCTCTTGTTTGATTTATGTGTATCCTCACATTCTATGATGTACTATTTTCTTCTTGTTACTTTTTTCTGTGAACGCCCACTTCTCTGACATAAGGGGAGTTTGTTCAATTCAGTGAAAACTCTCCAACATTTGGAGACAAGTCCAGATTGCTGATCACTTAGCTGCAACAAAACTTTTCCTTACAGCAACTCTTCTTTCTTCTTTTGAATGAATGCCAGCGGGCATCCATTCTGTCTGATATTTCCACACTAATTGAAAACAAGAATGTTGTGGCTGCGCACATTTACTTCAAAAACAAATGTCTTTGTCTTTGTGATCATAAAAGTTTATATTTTCATACAAATATTTGGTTTGTATAGTGGCCCTGTGACAGATTGTACTTTCGTGGGAAATGTATTATCCAAATCCCCACAGTCACATCTGCCCCTCTGAGGTCCATGCTGATATTTAAACTAGATTTTCCGGACAAGGATCCAGTATGTTAGCCTCAGTGCATTTCAGCCAGGTTGGTAGTTAAGTCTGTTTAGAAAATAATACAATGGTTTTGTCCATCATCATATAACATGTTTATATGATAGTATCATAGCCATATACTTCTATGATGCTGTCATATACCATATTATAGTGTACTAGTGTTATTTAATAGGTAAAACTGTATTTCTATACATTAAATAAAGTTTGGGTTTGGGTTCCCAGCAACCTTGTATCACATGAAACTACTGATGAAGGAGTGTTTAGTTAAGCTGCTGAAAAGCAAATAAGCAACCTCTTCATCCTGTCGCCCCCTGCTGTCAGTCTGTCACCAAACAGCAGTGGTGGAAGATGTATTCAGATCCTTTACTCAAGTAAAAGTAGCAATGCCACTGTGGTAATACTCAATTACGTTCTGCCTGCAAAAGTTTACTTAAGTGAAGCATCAAAAGTATTAGTGCTTATTATGTAAAATGGCTCATGCTGCATTATTATTAGAAATGCATTAACGTGTAGGCAGCATGTTAATATTGCTTGTCAAGGTGGAGCTTGTTTTAAAAACTTTATTTTCTGGTAAGTAGTTTAATCTGTCAAAATGCATCATAATTTCTACATTTTATGATCACATGTTCTGTAAAATCATAATCTGTAGAGTAACTACAAGCTATTAAATAAATGTAGAGTAAAAACTACATTAATATTTCCCTCTGAGATGTTGTGGAGAATACTCATATACGCCATATATGTAGCCTATAACAATAGGGTTTCACTTTGCTTTTAATGGTGGCAATTTGCAATGAATATTGTTTACATTTCATGCAGATTGCCACCATTAAAAGTATGCCGAATTAGCTAGTAGCAGATCAGGTTTGCAATGTAGCCATGAATGTACAGGCAGCTACATCTGGATTACTGTGATACTGCAGAAAACAAAAAAAATGTGATCATTCTCAGGCGAGTTCTGGAGTTATAAGAAGTATCATTGTCTCTGAAGTCTAAGAGGAAGTCACACTTAATATCTCTATGTATATCATGTAAGTGTGTTAAGATTTGACTGAGTAGTACTTGAGTAAAGGTACTTGATTACTTTCCACCACTTCAAAACTAACACTTTATGTAGCTACAGTTCAGTGTGTCTATTATTGTGTCTCAGGTGGACATGCAGCTAGTAAACATGACAGAGGATGCACATGTACAGTAATTTTTATTTAGAGGCCACAGCTCTTGCATATTACAACTGTTGGCTTTCATAAGGCAAAAGCAAGAATGAATCCACCAGCTAATTCACACAGAAAACAGAAAGCATTTGGGGAGGGTGGGAACCCACAGGCATGCAGCGATGGCTCAGAATGCAATGTACAGCATTTTATATTTATATATATATTTATATAATATATACAAAACAACAGTGAGACCCAAACAAATGCCAGACATCTCATTCTACACAATTACTGAACAAAGACTGACCAACTTTTTTTTTAATAAAAAAAATTATTTTTGCTCTTTTCTCTGTAAAAGTGCAACTCAATTAAAATAGAACCTGTTTCAAGGCCTTTTAATGTTGAAATAAAAATAGAATCTCCCAAGTTATCAAAATGGAGCTATGAGAATATTGCATCTCTAGAATACCCACTCGTTGAAGTTCAAGATTCCCGTGGAACCATGTCTAATCAGTAATTGAGATAAGATCACATAGCATTGACACATGATAAAAATGCAGGTCTGGACTTACTGTTGATGTTAATAACAGTGAGTAGACAACAGTGTATCTGTAACAGCCGTAAACAAATACAGAGGTTTATTTTCAGTTTGAAGCAGTTGGCATTCACTTAAAAACAGACAAGACAAAGAAAAGGGTCCACACACTCATCATCACGACAATGTACCATTAATGAATGTAGAATACGACAAAGAAGCGCCATATAGGTTTGCATTGGACAGGGACACACCTATTAATCTCACTCAACATTGTCAAACAAATGGTTCTCCATATTGCTTAGTAACACATAGAAATGAATTTAGAAATGAATGAATCAAAGATAGGTGCTATCTTTATCATGACACAGCTAAACTGCCAATTATTTTTTTATCATTTTTATTTTGATTTTCCTCAGTATAAGTACTATTTTTATAGTTAATAGTTCCTTCATAGGCATTTCGAGCTGACAAAGAGGTCCTAGAGTGGCTATCTGAGTTGGTACATGCATCGGTAACCAGGCTAAAGTCAAAAGTGTGAATGGGGATCGGGGTGAGGGTTGGAGTGGTGTATGGGCTCTAGTCATCCTCTTCATCCTCCTCATCGCTGTCCTTCATGGAGATGCCCTGCATGCCTCCTTCCCTCACTGAAGCAGTGGCCTCCTCCAAGGTCAGCCTGTTGCGCACCGTGTCGTACATCTTACTGTTCAGGGTGGAGTCGAGGACACCTTGCAGGCGAAAGTCCCGGTACTTTTTCTACAGAACAACAGGGATACATCAGCACAGCGTGGACACAAAGAATTTAGGCTGTTTTATCACCCTAACAGGTGTTATCCATCTCACCTTTGTAATCCTGATGAGGATTTTTAGCTGGTAGACGTGGAGCTGCTGATCCATGCGTTCAGTGAGCCAGGTCCCCAGCAGGTTCATGGTGGCAGTGTACCATTGCTGAAACACATAAAGACAACACTCTCCAGCAAAACACACACTCTCACACATCCTCAAGACATCATAACATGAGACTAAGCTTTAAAGACACACATAAAGAACTGCAACTAAACATAAATAACATTAACTTTCAAGCACCCCCATGTGTGTGTTCAAACATCACTTCAATAAAACCTCGAAGCTGCTTTAATACATGTGAGACTCATTTTACCAGTGTGTGTGTGTGTGTGTGTGTGTATATATATATATATATATATACCCACACCAGTTAGAGAGGATTAATGTTGAGTATCCATCCCACTTTACAAGAGAGACACAAGCTACAGGATAGAGGGCTTGTTTTAGCAGTTTCTTTTTACCATGCATTTCAAGAAAAAATTCACTTTCTCTACTTTTGATTGCCCTCGCTCTTCATTTAGTGCATCTAGTTTCAAATCTTAAAGATTTCTCTATAACTTCAAAAAATAAATGATTAAATAAGCCAAAATTTAAAGTAAAGTTTGGAAAACACATCCTTACATAGGTATGTTTATGAAGAATTTAACACTCAAAGACAGAGCTAAGCTGCTTCATTAGGACTGTGTGGGTGTAATTTGGTCAGGCTTGATTGATGGTGACAGAAGCAACAAATCTGATTGGTACACAGTAGTATGTGATGTCACCTTTTTCCAACTGAGAAGAGCATAGATACAACATCACAGAGAGAAATCTCATGTGAAAATAACCAAAACTGTTTGGCAGAAAATTGTGTGTTAGAGGAATACTTTGTTGTCTTAGGAAATAAGCTTATTCACCTTCTTGCCGAGGGTTAGATGAAGAGATCAATACCACTCCCCTGTCTGTTACCTAAATATAAAGCTACCCCCAGCAGCCGGTTAGCTTAACTTGCCTGGAGCTGTCCAAAGGTAACAAAATTCTCCTGCCAGCACCTCTCAATCTCACAAATAAACACAGAACTTGTTGTTTGGAACTTGTTTAATCAATATAAACTTCAAAGAAGAAACCCCAGGAAGATACTGCACCCAGCCAAGAAATAGTCCAGCACATAACCCCCGCAAAACATTAAATTATTTTATTTTATTATTATTATTTTATTTTGTTTTTAAACTTCCGTTTTTGTACAAATGAATGAAATGAGATATAACATGTTAATTAGTGAGTTTTAGAGCTGTTGGTAGATTGATTTTGTTACCATTGGACAGAGTCAGACAAGCTTTCTCCCCCTGTTTCTAGTCTTTATGCTAAGCTAAGCTAACTGTCTCCTGATTCATGCTTCATATAGAGTAGATAGACATGTGAGCGGCATTGATCTTCTCATCTAACTCTCTAAAGTAAGCGAATGGGCAAATTTCCCAAAATGCGTAAGTGTTTTTAATGGACGTCTGTATCACTCACTGTAAGAAGCTGACAGGTTTTCAGGGCCTTTAAATGGATTAAACACAGAGGCTAACCTATGTATACACTGAGATATTTCAGAACTAAACATGACAGTGGCCCAATTACAATTTTATCATAATGGCTGTCTAATTAAATTATATTTAGAATTAAATTTGGGCCTTACTGTTGGGCCTTACTGTTGGTTTCAGTAAATGTTCCCAACATACACACACACAAACACAAGCACACCACGAGTTTGAAACCCACACGCAAATTGCATTTATACTGTTGCACTGTTGCACTCTGAAGAGCTGAAAAGAGCAATTTTAGAGGAAACACTTAGAGCACCAATACTACTGCTACTTGAAGAAAATAATAAAACAAAGGGAAGTCATAAAGCACAGACAGATTTAACAGTCTCAAACTGTAATTACCCTCTGCAATACTGAAAAATGTTCAATATCAATATTTTGTAAAAAGCCCATCAATTATCGAACGCAATTACTTAGCCTTTATAATTTAGTCTAATAGAAATGCCGAGCTACACTGAAGATAGAGAACTGCTACTGTATGGGGAATTGAAATTATAGTTTTGACACGAGTTCATTAGCAAAAGAAAAATAGAATGAAAGTGAGCAAATGGTTAGCAGGCAGGGAGCAGTGGTGCTATTTTCTTGTACCTTTTCTCTTCTTTGCTTTGGGTGGTAGTTTCCCAGACTGTAAAAGTTACAAGAGAACAGCACCCAAGTCTAATAGAAACAGTTGTCATACCTCCAATTTCATGAAAATAAGTCAACTTTAAACATGTGAGTAGGCAGGAACGCAGGAAAAGGTTGCTTAGGCCCGAATTAGAGGTGTGAGGATTTAATTTGTTTGGTTGTTGAGGTTTGTTTTGTTTGTTTTTTGTAGTCAAGGTTTATTTAGATCAAGATTAGGTGAATGGTTGAAAGGTTTGAACTTGAGGCCGGATATGCAGATGCCTGTCCACTTCACAGTCGAGTTGAGCGTGCAGTGCATGCAGACCTCGCAGGTGGGTGGGTGGGTGGCAGAGTGCGTGCTAAGGAAGACTGCTGTATGTGCAAATGAGGCAGAACTCTGAGGAGGGTCATGCTAGAAGATGTACACAGGAAGATTATTTGACTCTAAAACCATGCCAACCAACATAATGTGATAAAACAACGCAACGCAACACTAGAGATAAGTGCCAC